CATTTCAGCGCCGTGTGTCTTTGTGCTTCATGTTTGTGCTGCCCGTGCGGGCGGAGCGGGGCTGGCGGGAGCCGCGCTCCCCTCAGAGCCCCTGAGGGCGGCAGCAATGGCGGCGCCGCTCCCTCAGCGCCGCCCCGGGGCGGAGCGGCCGCGCTTTGGCGCCAAGACGGGAGCGCGGCTCCTCCCGGCCCCGCTCGGCCATGGCCGCCCCTGCCGAGCCCGGGCACTCACCCGGCTTCAAGAAGCCGCCGGCGCTGCTACGGCTGAAGCGCAAACGTCCCGGGCGGAGGAGCGACCCCGCTGCCGCGGAAGCCGCCGCTGCCCCGGCCCCGCGGGGCCCCTCCGCGGCCGCCCGCCGGCGGAACCCCTTCTCCCGGCTGGACAATGCTCCGCAGCGGGCGGCGACCGCCCCTCAGCCTCCGGCAGCGGCCCCGGCGAGCGGGGATCCATCGGCAGCGCCCTTCTGGCAGGTGGGTCCGAGCCCCGGCAGCGGGGTCCGCGCAGCTCTCAGCCCTCAGCCATTGCCCCGGAGTTCTCAGCCATTGCCCCGAGCCCTCAGCCATTGCCCCGAGCCCTCAGCCATTGCCCCGGAGTTCTCAGCCATTGCCCCGGAGTTCTCAGCCATTGCCCCGAGTCCTCTGCCATTGCCCCGGAGGTCTCAGCCCTCAGCCATTGCCCTGAGCCCTCAGCCATCACCCTGAGCCCTCAGCCATCACTGTCACACCCTCAGCCATCACCCCAAGCCCTTTTCGATGCAGCCCTGGGCTCACTCCCGGCTCCTCCAAGGCCCTGCTGGGCTCGAGTTTGCTCAGCACTGGGTGCAGATCCTGTGCTCGTTTGTTTGCAGCCCGGGCTGCTGAGGATCACTCGGAAATGTCACTGCAAGGGCAGTTTTAAAAATTATCAGCCCGGTGCATCCTTTGTGCTGTGCCTTATGTTGCTCTTTCATTCAGTTTTTAGAGCAAGCCTGTGAAGAGAAGCCCCCCAGGAGAGCAGAGCCTGCTGAAAGTTCTGATATCCTCTCCCTAAGCCAGGTATGAAACACTGCTGAAAAGATTCCAGCTGTTCTCAGGGCACACAGAAAGCTGAAACTGTTTCCCTTGGTGTTTGGTGGCCCATCTCTACATGTCAGTAATCAAGGAAATTTCTTACACTGATGTTTCCTGTTCTGGTGACAGTCTTTTAAACCCAGCCTTCTGCCTGACCTCACTGCTGTTTGTAGTTCCATGGACAGAGGTTGTTGTCTTTCAGTTTCATTAACATGTTTACTATAATTTTACTGTTTTTTAATTTTATATGTAGTTGAGTTGAGACCTCCTGCAGTCTGGTTTTCAGCTGCAGAAATGGAGCACTGCATCAGGCACATAAGAAAGCAAGAATTCCTGAAAACCAACCCTTGAAATTGAAACAGTTTCAACAGACATTCTCTAATGTTGTTCTAGGTACAGAAACTGAAGTTCAAACTAAATGAGAAGGATAGAAAAAAGAGAACAAACTGTCTTGGAGGTGCCCAAGGCTTTACAGTCACCAGGAAAGGATGAAATGAAATGCACTAACCATTTTGGCATGGAAATTCTTGTCTTCATAAATATCAGGCTCAGAGCTTTTTTATTTTAATCATTTATCCTTTTATTTGTTCCTAGTTCATATTGTTGGAAGGATCCATGAGTGCAAGCCCTCTCTTGTGGCTTTATAGGCAACAGAATGGAGTATTTCTGTTAGAATGTGGTACTGAGTAAAATAATGAAAATAATAAACTGTGCCTTTGGTTCAGCCTGTTTAATTTTCAGGTTTACCTTTCTGCGAGTTAACTGCTGCTGTTTCTGTTTGCTCAGGACCTTCATTCACCTCTTGCTGTCCCCAAAGCTCCCTCCTCACCACGACATGAATTCCCTGCAGACTGGAGCATTAAAACACGAGTTCTCTTCATGTCCTCCCAACCCTTCACGTGGGCAGAACACCTGAAAGCACAGGAGGAAGCTCAGGGCTTTGCTCAGCACTGCAGAGCTACCCAAACCACCTTGCCCCAGAGCGTGCAGGTGAGAGCTGTGTGGGGGGGTGGCAGGAGCTGCAGCTTTTGTTCCTGGCAGCTTTTTCCATCCCCCTCACACCCTGTGGGACCTGCAGGAGCCTCGGCTGTGCACGGAGCTGCGCTGTGCCTTCCAGCAGAGCCTGGTGTACTGGCTGCACCCCTCGCTGCCCTGGCTGCCGCTGTTCCCCCGCCTCGGGGCTGACAGGAGGATGGCAGGGAAGCCTTGTCCTTGGGCACAGGACGAGGCCTTGCAGCAAGTGCTCATGAGTGACTGGTGAGTGCAGCCAAATTCCTGGTGGGCCGGCTAGGAGTGAGACAAGGGGATTTTAATTCATCACAGAATCGTGGGGTGGTTTGGGTTGGGAGGGACCTTAAGAGTCATCACATTTCAACCCCTGCCATGGCAGGGACACCTCCCACTGTCCCAGGCTGCTCCCAGCCCCAATGTCCAACCTAGAATTGAACATTCCAGGAATCCAGGGGCAGCCACAGCTGCTCTGGGAATTCCATCCCAGCCCCTCCACACCGTCCCAGGGAGCAGTTCCTTCCCAATACCCCATCCAGCCCTGCTCTCTGGCAGTTTAAAACCATTCCCTTTCTCCTGGCACTATTTACAGGGATAAAAATACTCCCTCCCCTAGGGGAACTTCCCACCCTCTCAGGGAACAATTCCTTCCCAATATCCCATCAAATTCTACACTGAAGCCATTCCCTGTGTGCTGTCCCTCCATCCCTTATCCCCACTCCCTCTCCAACCATTGGGGCAGACCCTCCCGCTATGACAGCGCTGTTTTTCTCCCCCGGCAGGTCGGTGAGCTTCACCTCTCTGTACAACCTGCTGAGGGCTCGCCTGTGTCCGTATTTCTACGTGTGCGCCGCGCAGTTCTCGGTGCTGTTCCGAGCCGCGGGGCTGGCGGGCAGCGCCGTCCCCACCGCCGCCATCGCCCCCACCACGCGCGGCCTCCGCCAGGCCATGAGGAGCGAGGGTAAGGGCAGCAGGGGCTGGGCCACAGCCCTCACCGCTCCCTCCTGTCAGGAGAATTCAGCCACAAACACCAGGGCTTCATGTCCGAAAAGGACACACAGGAGTCCTGTGACTTTATTGGAATCAAGGCAGAGGCCGTGGGGCATTCCCTGGGGTCTCTCCAATTTTTGGAGGACTCGCCTCCCTTTTTATCCCAATTTCCCATCCACATTTCCCTCTCTCTTTCCCCATGGGCTGAGGTACTTGAGAGGTACAGACTTCCCTAAGATACCTAAGATTACCCTCTAATGTACAACCCTCCCTTTTAATTTTTAGCTCTTACAGAATTCATGGTTTTCCCCCGTTGCTTCTTTCATCTTTCAATACCCAATTTCATTTATCAGGAAACCTACAGTTTGTAAGGGCAAATAACTTTTTTTTCCATTATCAATCAGTGAAATCCATCCTATTGGTTCTTTTATCTCCCAGCGCTGGTTTTATCTACCAGCAGAGCCACAGCTCGTTTGTAAAGACAAATCCCTAATTCCTCTCACTCTCCTCCACCCCAGGCATAGAGTTCTCCTTACCTTTGCTGGAGGAAAGTAGAGCCAGGAAACAGAAAAACTCTGAGGAGAATTTGGAAACAGAAACCACTGATGGCCTCGGAGGGGGCAGCAGTGTGGAGGATGTGGGGTGAGTGACAACATTGTGCTGGAATTCAGGAACGTCTCCAGGCTCCTGCACAATCCATTTGGAAATCCTTCCTCAGAGGCACTGCCCTCCTGACACTGCTCCCGTGTCCCCAGGGAACCAGCTCCCAGTGATGATGATGATGATGGAAGTTTCTCTTGGCTTGAGGAGATGGGAGTCCAAGACAAGGTGGAGAAACCAGATACTATTTCTATCCAACTGTATCCTTCCTTTGATGTTCCAGATGTGAGAGTGCTGTGGTACACGTTTAAGTTCTGTAGAACTTTTTGAGAACTGTTTTCCAAATATGAATCCTCACTTTCCTGCATGTTATGAAATACTGCATTTTTTTTTTAAGTTACTTTGCAAGTATTTCTAGGATTTGAAGCCAGGATTTAGATGCTGCTTAATATTTGAAGAGCAGATCTGGATGAGGGTGGTGCTTGGTTTTTGGGGATTTTGGTCAGATGGGGTGTGGGGGGATTCACTGCTCCAGTGTTTTGGCACACGGACGCCTCCCAGTGCCCCGTGGTTTTCCCTTGACTCGGCTCCGCAGGCGCAAGGAGAAGCACGAGGTGCAGGTGGATCACAGACCCGAGTCGCTGGTGCTGGTGAGGGGCAGCAACACCTTCACGCTGCTCAATTTCCTCATCAGCTGCCGCAGCCTGGTGGCCGTGGCGGGGCCGCAGGCGGGGCTGCCCCCGACGCTGCTGGCCCCCGTGGCTTTCCGGGGTGGCACCATGCAGACGCTCAAGGTGAGGGAAGGGACCCCGCTGCCGCTAGGAAGGGGAGGGAACTGATTTCCTTAGCCAGGAGATCAGACTTGGTGGCGTTTCCCTCAGGCACCACAGCAGGATTTTTGTGGCTAAAGCCTGAGTTAGCATTTTGTCTGCTTGCACAGCCTGTTCCTAAGTCCCTTCAACACATCCCTGCACTGAGCTGGCATCCCAGCATTCCTTCCTCACCTCCTGAGGGACAAGAGGCTGAGCAGAACTGCCCAGAGGGAAAACAGTTGTTAAGATTCCCCCCAGATCTTGAGGGGTCTCAGACCACCCCAGCCCCCTGAGCCACACCTCACCAGCAAGAAATGGTTTGGATTGGGAGGGACCTTCAGGATCATCCCAGAGCCACCCCTGCCATGGCAGGGACACCTCCCACTGTCCCAATGTCCAACCTGGCCTTGGGCACTGCCAGGGATCCAGGGGCAGCCACAGCTGTGCCAGGGCTTCCCCAGCCCACAGCCAAGAATTCTTTCCCTATATCTAACCCAAATTTCCTCCCAGTAAGAACAGGCTGAGCTACTTGTTCCACCAGAGAAATTCATCCTGTTCTTCTGCACTTCCCTTCCCAACCCCTACAGCATTCCTGCAGTCCTGGGGTTACACTTTAGGAGTTGTTACGGGGACAGTAGAACCTCCTGCATTGCACAGGGAGCTGAGAATATCGAGCAGTGGTTCTGTTTGCAGCGCGCCCGTGGCGCTGTAGTGTCAGAGCTGGTCGTGCCTGCGGTGAGTGCAGCTCTAACCGCGCTTTTCTGCCTTAGGCTCGGACTGTGAGCGGCCGTGCCCGGGTGCAGGGGGGCTTTGAGGACGCTTTCAGCCTGGAGGTGCTGGGGCCGGTCCTGCCGCACTCCCTGCACGCCCTGACGCTGCTGCTGGGCCCGGCTCAGCGCGGCTCCTTCCGAGCCCTGCTCAGCCCCCACGAGCCCAGCGCCGCCTTCAACGCGGCCCCGCCCCAGGTGAGGACACAGCCCGGAGCACAAACTGGGACCTTCCCGTTGGCACCTGAGTCCCCGCGGTCTCCACCTGCAGCCCTGCCCTCCCTCAGCTGGGGGGTCACGGGGAACCGGCATGTTTTGGTTTAGGGTAGATTGGGGAGGAAACTTTTAATGGGGTTTCTTTTAGGAAACAGATATAAGCAGGGTTTTTTAACTAGTTTGGGGAAAATATTTTCTTGGAGAGAAGTGGAAAAAAAACCTGTTTATTTAACAGGCAAAGTATTTTTAGCACAAAAATGAACAATACTAAACAGCAAAACTTTTCACTGCTCCGAAGAGATGACAAATTTAGAAAAGTCTTGTTTGTGGTTGTAGCTTGGCTTGCTTAGTTTGTTTTCAGTCCCTCCAGTGCTGGGAAATGCTTCAGCCCAGGCCAGGCCTGGTGGGCTCCAGGTGTGAGCTTACAGTGCTTTTTTGGGTTTTTAGTTTAGAGCAGGTTTGAACAATTTTAAGAAAAAGGAAAAACCCCACAGTTTAAGGAACTTTTTTTGTTTCAGCTAGCTAGAAAGCTAACTAAAAATAAAGGAGAGCTTTCTCCTGCTGTCTACTGCAGACAGCACAGTCTGTGTGAAGGATGTGGGGGAATGAATGCAGACTCTGATAACAAACTCTGCACCTCTTCTCTCCCCCTTCACTCTTGAAACTAATTTTAAAGCTGTAGAACTCAATATTTAACAGAACAGACAATTGGGGATATACAGGTATCATGAAATCACCCCAAGACAGGGGAGCTCCCCAGTGGGAGCTGCAGACACTTCCCAACCCCTCATTCCATGTGTGTGTCCCCCACAGGAGGATGTGCAGCAGGACCTGCCTGCCTGTGGGCTGCATCCCAAGACTTTGGAGCAGCTGAGTCAGAGCCCCACTCTGGGGAAATCCTCCATCCGCCTGCTGGAAATGAAGGATTTCTCCTACACCTGGAAGGCCTAGGAATGCTGCTCATGGAGCTGGCTGCTCCCTCCCACTTGCTGAGCTTGGGGCAGGGCAGGAGGGACACGAGGGTGGCACACACCCCACACAACTGCTGCACATGAACACTTCCAAGGGCTTGGAAACAAAGGAGGGCAAAGGCCTTGGACAGCTTTTTTTATTATAGAAAGTGTTTTTTAAATAAAACATGGTTTTATTACTCTGGTTTGCCCCTGGGCAGGTTGGTATTCCCCCCCCCACGCACCTTCTGCTCCAAGCATGGAATTTCTGCTCCTGCTTGGGGCAGGAACTGTAACCAGGTTGGAACTAAAACCCCCCAGGGCAGGGGATAAGAACCAGATGGGCTTTAAGGTCTCTTCCAGCTCAAGCCTTTGGGATCCTATGGATGGATGGATGGAATGCTTGGCAAAATCACTTCCCAGACTGTTCACAGCCCCCTGCCACCCTTGGTAGCTGCACCTTGGTGTGTGACACCTCTTGGGTCGGGGTCATCTCTGAACTGCACAGGGGGGTCAGAGGGCCCCGGAGCTCCCACACCCACCCCAGGCTTGCAGGGATCCCTTTGTACAAATCCCAGCCCGGAGGGAACAAGGGGAGGAATTCACTGCCTGCAGGACCAAAGGGAGCTCAGGCCTTGGCAGGGGCTGCCCAGGGAGCTTTGGAGTGCCCATCCCTGCAGGTGGCACCTGGAGGTGGCACTCAGGGTGCCAAGGTGGCCATGGGGCACAGCTGGGACTGCAGGGGCTGGGAGGGCTTTGCCAGCCCTGGGGATTCCATGGATCATGGAAAGGAGCTGCTGTGTGCTGCCAGCAGGAGCAGGGGCTGACCAGGTGCTCTGAGTGTTTCCCTGGGTCACTTTTGGGCAGTGTCACTTTTCCACAGCTGCCAGGTGAGCACATTCCTGCAGCAGGGAATGCCAAAGATGAGTGGCAAGTAGAACCAACTCGTGCTTGTGCTCTCCAGCCCTTATTTCTAACCAGATTTTTCCTGCTGGAGATGAAGCTGTGGGCAGCAAAGCTCAGCTCTCCCTGCTGGTGCCCCTCAGGGTTTGGGATCACTGAGCAAACCCCTGCAAACTGAACATGGGCACGGAGCAGCCCCTGGGCCAGCAAAAGCTTCCTCTGCCTCCAGATGTTTTCTGTCCACAGTAGGGGCAGTGTCCTGCCCCAGGGATCCAGCAGGGATGCAGTTCTGCTGGAATTCCTGCTGATTAATCCTGGCTTTACAGAACTGCTGTGACCTGGCAGCTCCAGGAACAAATCCCAGCTGCTCCCAGCTCTGGGGTGCAGGGCTGTTCCTGAAGGATCTGTGACCCCCACCTTTAAGCCATGAAATCCAAACCTTTCCTAAGTTATTTTTTAAATGGAGTCTTTAGTGGGACTGGATTTCTCTGCTGCTGGGAGAACTCAGGTCTTTACATGGGAAACAGGGATACAGAAAAAGGAACAAAACAATACAGGGGGTTGTACATTCCCAAATTTTATCGTGTCCAGCTGTGAATTCTGAGCTGCCATGAGAGCATGGATTGCAGAGAATCCTCAGCAGCTCCAAGGTTTGAGTTCTGCCAAACCACTGAGTGTCCTCAGGAGCTGCTCCCAGCCCCAGGGGGGAGCCAGACACTCCCAGCACCCCCCGAGTGCCTCTTCTCACATTTCCTGGGAATTCCACACCTCCCAGGCAGCTCCCAGGACAAGCTCCACACATTTAGTCAGAGACCAAAGGCCAAAGGGAAAAAAGTTTAATTCGAGACAACAACGTCCATGAAATGAAGATCAACTGAAGCATTTCCAGAGCGCTCAGACAGACTCAGAGGGGCTTTTCTGTCTCCAAACCAACCCCAATTCTCTGCTGCACAGGAAGCACCAACCCTTGTCCCTGCAGAGCAGGGAGACTCCGTGTTCTGTGACAGGATCCACACAGCTCCAGGGCCCCACGGCCAAAGGGTCCCTGACATGAGGCCTGAGCAGCCTGGCTGGGTTTGTTCTTTCACACCTCACAAAGACTTGTCTGGGACAAGCACCTGAACAACCCAAGTGCAGAAATCCTGGCAGCCTGCTCCTAACTCGGATCCGTCAGGGAGAGTGCACTGCCCCTTTTGTGTGCACACAGATCAAAGAATAATGCTTCTTAAATAAAAAATAAAATAAAAAGCAGGAAAAGCTTTCTACAACCTCTCTGCTGTCCAACTGCCCAAACTCTAGATCAGGCTCCTTGAGGGCAGAGGATCGTTATGGAAACATTTAATTCCAAGGAGTTATTTTGTAAAAGTTCAAAGCAACCAAAAATAACCAGACCTGCTCCTGCCATCCCAACGGCTGCTGAAAACCCTCACAAATCCACTTCTGTATCCTGTGTGTTTCTTGCAGAAGGCATTTTGGTGTATTTCCATTCCTGTTTCCTGGCTTGGCATCCACTGGAATTACTGTTTACTGACCAGGGGTGAAGATTATGAACTTGTGCTGCTTTATTGACCAAGTTGGGTACAACAATTGAAGCGTCATTCTACCCCCTCCCTCCCCCCAAATCCAGTTGTAGATTTGTTAAAGAGTTTAAAATTCACATGAACCACAAATCCGTACAATCAGCATCAGGCAGTGGATTCACTGGTTGGGAAGAGCAGCCCCAGGGCCCCTCGTGGGGGCCGTGCAGGAGCTGAGCTGGGTCGTGTCCCAATCTCCGTGGCTCTGGCTGTCCTGGCACCGAGGGGCAGAGCCCGGGCACGGCCCCAGGGCGTCCCCAGCACCTCCCCGAGCCCAGGGAATTCTGCAGCCACTACAAAACTGTATCAAAGGGTCAGCGTTCCAGCAGGAGAGGAACTGCAGGAGCTTCAGCCAAGGGTCTGGGTTTCTGATGCCTCCAGAGTCTGTCGTCTGATTTAGTCGTTTAAGAAATAATTACATCACTAATGTAAACAATATAAACATACCAAAAACTAAGTATGATTTAAATACATTTGGATGGTACAAAAGAAAAAAAACCTGTGGGTGTCTGTACAGTTTTTACAAGGTGGGAATCGCCGATGTATTTACAACATGAGAGGGGCAAATACCATTTCTTGTGCAGAGTAAAATGCTCAGAACCAGTGTCCCAGTAAAGCCAAGCTTAGCGGTGTGAGGCACTCCTGAACATGGTGGTATTGACCATGCTTTCCTTTGGTACGAGTCCCATGGCCTGCAGCGCCGCCGTGGCCGCCGTGGCTTTCGCGTGCTTCTTGTTAAGGCTGGCAAAGGTGGGCCTGTACTCGTTGCCATTGACTCTCACCTGGCACAGGGGAAGCAGGGGTTAGTGAGGGGCCTGGCTGCTTCAGGGACACTCTGGGCAATTCCTCTTTAGGGACACACAGAACCCAGGCAGCACGGCCATTTCATGGGATCCCACCGTGGTCTGGGTTGGGAAGGACCCTAAAACTCAACCCATCCCAGCCCTGCCATGGCAGGGACACCTCCCACTGTCCCAGTGTCCAACCTGGCCTTGGGCACTGCCAGGGATCCAGGGGCAGCCACAGCTGCTCTGGGCACCCTGTGCCAGCCCTGCCCACCCTGCCAGGGAACAATTCCTGCCCAAGATCCCATCCAGCCCTGCCCTCTGGCAGTTCAAAGCTATTCCCTGGGTGCTGTCCCTCCATTCCCTGTGTGCTGTCCCTCCATCCTTGTCCCCAGTCCCTCTCCAGCTCTCCTGGAGCCCCTTCAGGCCCTGCCAGGGGCTCTGAGCTCTCCCTGGAGCTTCTCCTGTCCAGGTGAGCACCCCCAGGTGTCCCAGCCTGGCTCCAGAGGGGCTCCAGTCTCCCCAGTTCCCAGATCAAAGTGCTCCAGGGACCCGATTTGGCCTTTCCAGGAACAGGACTTGCACATTCCAGCACCGAGACGGCTCCGCCATCCTCAGCCAGCCCTGGGAGGTGTTTCTATCAAACAGAAACATGGATTTCATCCCTGGCACAGGGCAAGCAGCACAGGGGCAGCCCAGACCCACCTTGAAGATGAAATGTTTGCGGTGATCAGGCCCACTGTCGTCCACCAGCACGAACTCGGGGGGCGTCCACCTCCTCTTGTTGCAGATCTCCATCAGCGCAGACACCGGGTGCTTCCCTGGAACACAGAAGCTCAGGGTCAGCACCCAAGCAGCCTCTGGGAATTGCATTATTCTAGACAAGAATCTCACCTGAAAGATCCTTCATCACCACGTAATGGCCAGACCTCTTCTGGGCCTTCTCTCCCACAGCAACAAGCCCTGCAAACAACACGGGCATCAGAGGGGACACGTGCAGACCCCAGCCAGCTCTCAACCCTCCACCTCCTTCCCTCCATTCCACTCATCTCATTCTTCCCAAAGCCTTCAGGAAGACTCTGAACCAGCCAGGAGGAAACTCTGAGCAGTCTAACACAAGAGAACACCTGGTTTTCCATGGCCTCTTTGAACAAGAACATTCTCCTCCTGTTTCGTGCAGCCCGGAGTCACCCCCTGCCTTCAGTCTGCCTCGAACACAGGGAGCACAGGAATCACTCCCAGTATCCAGAAACGTCCCTGAGTCCCCTCCTGCCAGCAGTGACACCACTGACCCACATTCCCTGTGCTCTCTGCATTTACCAGTGTTCCAACAGCCCAAGCTGTGACCTCCATCCCACCTGGAAACAAAGCAGGGCATGGAACAGCCCCAAGGGGATGCAGGGAGCACAGGCTCTCCTGGAGTCACTGGCAAACACCAAAGCTCAACATTGTTCTTCTGAAAATCTTGCAAGACCAAGAAATAAACTGAAGAATTGCCAGAAATGTCTGAAATTCCAGTGACAATCCATGAGAGAAACTCAAGTTTCTCCCCGTGAATTTTGCCACTCTCAGACTTCAACCTTTCAATATTCCTTTGTTTCTTACCTCCAGTTTTCCTGCTGTGGTTTTGGTGAATAAAGACAGGGAGATACTGCAATTGCTTCCAGTGTCTTCCTGTTCCTTCAGCTTTTTTGGGTGGCATTTGGGTTTCTTTTGCTTTACAGGAAAATCCTTCCTTCCTTATCAAATATTCATGCCAATATTCCTGCAACCCCTAAGCAGGGACTTCCCAAGGGGTGTGAAGCCATCAGACAGGGAAAGGCTCAGGGTTTTGCCCCCCTAAAGAATTTTAAACCCAAACCTAACAAGGGATTCTCCCCCTCTTCATTAAATTCCCTCCCTGTTGCAGAGCCACTGCCACTCCACTCCACCTCCTGTCTCTGGAACCTCAGCTGAGAATTTCCAACAAGCTGCAGCCTCCTGAGTCACCTCCTGGGACCAGGAATTGTATTTTATTGGGGGGGTACATTGAAAAATGTCTAATAAATTCCTTACAAAACAAACCTGGGTGGGGGGTTAGTAACAGAATTCCTGCCAAACACTGGACTTTAAAACTCTACACAGAAGTTAAAAAAAAATGAAGTATGTTTTATCCATTTAATCACCCAAAACGTGGATGTCTGAGAAACTACTTGCCCTCAATATATAATCCCTAAGTATATAATCCCTTGTCCTAAATACATGATATATATCTAATATATAATCACAATTCCTGCTTCTCTGAGGACACCTCCTGCCCCTGTCTCCCTGTGCCACTGGGTGGCCCAAGAGCAGAGGGAATTCTGCATCCTGGCCAGATGCCAGGGGAAAAAAAAAAATAAACTAAGTTGTTTCTTTCTATACATTTTCAGTGTATAAAAAAACCAAGTGTGTGAAAAAAAAGAAGCCAAAAGTTTAACCCAAACTGGTTCCAAAAAAAAAAGTTCCCCTTGCAACAATTAAAAATAAAACCAATTTTAACCTCCCCCCAAATCCAACCCAAAAAAAAAAAAAATTCAAATTAGTAAACCAAAACCACTACAGTGGCACAATTTTTGTGGGAATGATCAGGTAAGATTGCACATGAGCCTAAGTATTTCACAACCAGGAAACCCAAAGCAAAGCCCAGCTGAAACCCCTGGTTTCAGATGACTCTCACAGGCCAGGAGGAGTCCTTGGCAATCACTGTCACCAGCCACTTTTGGGGTTTCATTTCTTTCTTTACACAGAAAGATTGTAAAGAAAAACATGTGAGAAGTTTTGGCCATTCCAAGCTCAATTCTGAGCAGGGACAAAAGCCAACACAAAATCCCAGGATGGTCTGGGTGGGAAGGGAGCTCAAATCCCACCCAGTGCCACCCCTGCCATGGCAGGGACACCTCCCACTGTCCCAGGCTGCTCCAAGTCCCATCCAATGGCCTTGAAATGAAAATTCTGAGTATTTCCATCCTGTGCTTTCAGATGGGATTGAAGGTTCCTGGTGCAGAAGAAATCTTTAGAACAGCAGGAATCTGTCCCACAGTCAGTGTGGAGCTGTTGTTTTGTTCCATGCACAGCAGAACAATGAAATCAAGACATCCTGATTGCTGAATTTGGCATCTTGGATTTCAAGCAGTCAGAACCTGGAGAGGTGTTTGAGGTGGGCACTGAGCACACAAAGCACAGGGGCCAAGCTGAAGGAGCAGCACCACTGCCTGCATGGATCTGCTGCAGCCAGGGAGCTCTGCCCTGTGCCCTGCAGCTCCCCAGGTCCAGTGGAAGCTAAAGCTGCCTCTGGAAGCAGCCCTGAGGATGAGCAGAGATGCCTTCAGCAGGATCAGACAAACAGCAGGGACAAAGAACAGGACAGGAATCCACAGGGAAGCCCCAAAGGCCTGAGTGTGAGTCACTCACAAAGCTCAGCCTTGGGGCTCTCAGCTCTGCCCTCATTGCCAAACTGACCCCACTATTCCATTTCCCATCCCTGCTCCTGCTCCAGAACAACCACCACAGCTTTTCCACCAGGACAAAGCTCTGGAGGGACCCCAGGCCCTGGCAAACCTGAGACAAAATCCCAGAATCCATTCCTGTGCCAGTGAACAGAAAACACCTCCTGCTTCCCCGGGCCTGTGGCAGCTCCAGGCAGAGGTGAGAGGCCACAGGACATTTGTGAGGCAGCACTCACCTTTTCGATCCGTCTTAAAATCCACCATGATGGGCTCAACGCTGCCTTCCTTGTTCTTCCCAAGCCCTTCTCCTTCTCTCCAGCCCATTTTCCTCATCAGCTGAGCTCCCATTCCTCCAGTTACAGGGGCTGCTCTTAAGAACTGATCCTATCCAGAAAAAGAGAAGTAAAACAAGGCCTAAAGTTAGTGCTGGGATTTTAAATAAGAAGTGGGAACTTCCAAAAAAATGTTTCTAACAATTTTTCACAGACTCAATTTAAAAGAAAAAAAAAAAAAAAGGAAAAAAAAAATCCACCTGAGCTCTGTGGATTTTTAGCCCAAACCAGTGCGTGGAACCCGGAATTCACGCGGACACACGAGACACAAAATCAATGTTTGGCAAAAAAGAACAACTTAGGAAAAGTCTAAGGTGATCCCAAAGTGGCAGTGACCCTTTGCAGACAGATGTGGTTTAATCAAGCGACAACCATCCGGTTCTAAACTCTCTGCTCTGATCCCAGAGATGTCCTCAGCTCGGGAAGTGGGAACTGATCCTGGCACAGCTGTGCCAGGGGCACCTCCTCGTCCAACAGAACACAAGCACATTTAGTCATGACATTCACAGGCTGTTTAGGCGTGTTTAAATCTTGAAAAAAAAAAAAAACAAAAACCTCTCCCCACCTGATTCATTACACAGCAGTTGCACATTCAAGTTCTACCCTGAAATTCCACATGGAACAAACAGGTTTTGCTTTTCCCCTCTCTTTTATTTTAATGGAAAAAGGCGCTTGGCCCCCCAGTTTAGCAGCAGCAGTCGTCACATTCTTTCAAATGAGCATTAACAAAAGTTGTTAAACGGTGAAAGCTTATCAACAGAAAGTTTAAACATCTGCTTTGATGTAAAGAACTGTAAAAACTCCTTAAATGTTACGTACCTAGGCCTCGCTGGCCGCAGTGTTGTGAATAGTAGGGCTGGCACTGACCGTGGCAAGAAGGCGGCTACAAGGATTTGACCCTGAAACAAGTTTCCATATAGAGGGGTGAAAGTTCACAGGTTATTCTGTGAACTATCATCTCTCGTGCCCCCCCGCTGACCCCAGAAGCAAGTCAAGCATTGTTTCCATCACAGCAGAACCTTGCTTGCCTTCCCGGACACGAGCTCCGAGCCCGGCAGGAGCGGCCGCCGAGCAGAGGCAGCCCCAGAGCTGGGCAGGGCTCGCTCACTGCCCAGGCACCTCCACACAACGCTCAGGGTGGGTTCTGCTTCCTTTGGAGCTGGGCTTGCAAGAGCAGGAGTTTCCCAGAGTTCACAGAATCACGGAATGTCCTGAGCTGGAAGGGACCCATCAGCACCACGGGTTCCGAACGCTGGCCCTGCACACACAGCCCAAAATCCCAGCCTTGGGCATCCCTGGCAGCTCCTGGAGCTGAGCACGGCCTGGGGCTGTCACCACCTGACACAGCCCTGGGCTCCCAGGGCTCCCGGGAACATTGGCAGGTAACAAAGCCACAGGTGCTCCTTTGGCACGCCAGGTGTTTTTGGGCATTTCCAGCACACCGCTGTGCCCAGCCCGTGACAGCAAAGCCGTGCTGGAGGCTGTGCCAGGAACGCTCCCAATCTCTGCCTATGGCCAGGAAATCCCTGCCTGGATCCACACGGATCCAGAGGCTGGAGGAGCAGAGCTGGGGCTGGTGCACACCCAGCCCCTGGGGCACGACATCCACACCCCTCCACAGCACTTCCCGCTCCCTCCTCCCCTGTTTTCCGGGAACATCCCGTGAGAGAAGCACCCCCAGGACAGGGAGGCAGGCCCTGCAGCTGGCAGGGCAGGGTTTGGGCTGTTCCAGCACCACGGGGTGTGTTCAGTTCACAAAGGACACAGCGCAAGCTCCTGCTGAGGTCACTGCGGCTTTCCCAAACACCTGGACATGTCCTGGCTCAGGGCTGGAGCAAGGACAGAACAGAACCAAAATATCCTGGTCCTGGTCAAAAAGCCGAGCCCTGAGCTCCTACAGAGGAATTACCAGAGCCTGAACAAACTCCAGAAACTGGAATAGGAAGTTGTAAGTTCCAAAAGGCAGATTTTAAAGCACCCCTTCCATGGGTGAATTCAGGATCCTGGTGGGGAACTGCAGCAGGAATTTTGTGCTGACTCTTCAATGTGACCAACAGAACCAGGACAACAGTGACTTACAAAATTATTATTCATAATAATAATTATTATTAATAATAATTTCATTCCAGAAGACACAAATACTCGTGCATCCCACTAAAAGGCCAGAGGAAGGAATTGTGGTACCAGTGGGAAAGGAGCCAGGAGAAGCCCACCTGGACTCAGGTCACTGAGGAAGCAAAGGTCTGCAGCAAGGAAAAGGTTCTTGCATTTTGATTCTGGTTTGTTGTTTTTTTTTCTTTTAACAATAAAGTGAATATAAACCTCTAATGCCATCTGTACATTGTATTTTTTTGTAGTTTAGTGACAGACAACTTCCCTCAGCCCATGGTTTCATGAGTGGGGTAAAACTGGTGCTGGGTTTGGAACTCATTGAAAACCACCGAAGGAACAGGAATGTTCACAAAAGCAGGGAAGCAAGAGCCACAAGTCTTCTCATTTTAAAAACCAATGCAAGTGTGAATCTCCAAAAACTCCTGAGCACCTCTGGACCTTTGCAGATACAAATTACAGGGGATGGAATACAAGAACCCCCAGGTTTCTGAGCATTTGGTTACTGCTGTCAGAACTAACTCGTTATTTACTGAATTATTTCTCTTTCACTCACTATCTTAATTTGAGGGAGCTGCAGGACAATTTGATCCCTTTTTCCTTATATTTTGAGCTCTAAATTCCATGAAATCCCACTTCCACTCCACCAACACATGGAGACACTAAAGAGCCACATTCTTGTGCCAGCACGTGCTTTAAAGTTAAAAGCTGATTCCTTCAGAGGGTTTGGAGCAGTTTTCATTAACTTCCTTGCAGATTCTTCAGGCTGACTCTTTGGAGCAACAATTTAGGGAGCAAAGACAGCAAGGCCTTGAAGGCAGGGGTGGCAGTTCAGGTGCAGCACAAGGCTGGGACTAAAGGCTGAACTCCAAGAAGTTCAGGTTCCAGGAACAAGCATCACTTTGGAAAAACTTGTGCCAGGCAGCAGAATTTCCCTTTAAATCCCAGCATCTCCTGGAGTGGGAAGGGACCCACAAGGATCATCCAAGTGCAGCTCCTGGCCCTGCACAGCCCAAAAATCCCAGCCTGGGCATCCCTGGGAGTGTCCTGGAGCTCTGATCAGCATCTGCTGCCTGTGGCTCCTTGCAGGGATCCTGAGGAAGGGAATTTGGGCTGGGTGCTGAACTGGAAGATGCTCTGGCCCTTTCAGCAGCAGCCCCAATCCTTCCCACAGACAGGAGCAGGAATCCCTTGCTGAAGAAGCCCAGCAGATGCTTCACAAGCCCTGAGTCCCCAGGCACCTGCAGGTGCTGTCACAGCTTTGAATAAGAGCAGGGAAAAAAGAATGGCTGGAAAAACAACAGCCAGAGCACTGGGGGGAGCCAGTCCAACAGAACTCACCTAGTGTGGAACCATGGAACCCCAGACTGGTTTGGGTCAGGAGGGACCTTAAATCCCCCCCCAGAGCCACCCCTGACATAGCAGGGACACCTCCCACTGTCCCAATGTCCAACCTGGCCTTGGGCACTGCCAGGGATCCAGGGGCAGCCACAGCTGCTCTGGGCACCCTGTGCCAGCCCTGCCCACCCTGCCAGGGAACAATTCCTGCCCAAAATCCAGCTCCCAGTGAGCACAGAGCTGCTCTGCCTTGCCAGGTGCCAAGGAAAGCTCCCTGTCCCCAGCAGGAACACCAGGGCTGCCTGAGGGAAGCTCAGCAGTTCTGCAAGGGGCAGCCACAAAGCTCAGCTTAACTTCCACCCTAAGGGGAGCTCTGCTCTGCTGTGCCTTCAAGAATGGGAGGCTTGCACTTTCCAGAACTTTCTGCACCCCAGGGATCAGCACCAAGTGAGTGACCCAGCAGCTCCCCAGGGCCACCCCTGAGCACAACCCCGGGTTTGGGGAGCAAGTTCAGGCTCCAGAATTGAGCTGATAAATCCAGAACCAAGTGGTGAGTCTGGGAAAGGGGGAGTAAATAGACCTCAACAGAATTTGCTTGGAAAAACAAAAAAATATTTGACCACTTGCTCTGACATTTCTTCAGCAGCACAGTGTGTTTGGAAGGAAAAAGGGAATAAAAATAGAAGCAACCTTCAGAAAAGATGAGTCACATTTGTGAACTGATTACACTGATGGTGACAAACTGAAACAGAAGCCACTTTTTCAAAGGGAAAAGTGAGATTGTTCATAAATTTTTTATACTTAACACCACATCACTTTTTTTATGGACCCTGCTCAGGCCCCTGCACATAAACACCATGAATTAGTCCAAGAATTAAAACCATCAATCTTATTCCTACTTCGTGTCCCCATCCCAGTGCTCCACATGAACCCCTGCAGTACCTAATCCCCAAGAGCTGAGATTGCAGGCAGAGTCTGGTTTGAGTGCATATTACCTCTCCAGTCATTGGGAAAGGACAAGAAAAGGGGAAATCCACGAAATGCAAAGTGAAGACAGAGCTCAAGTCCCTTCCTGCCCTCCTGAGTGACTCCTCTGTTGCACCTCCCTGGTGTTGTGGTGACCTCTGTCACACCCAGTGTCTGTGCTTGCTCCAATTCCTTCTTTCCTGACATCCAAATCAAGTGGCTGCCACGGGCTCAGTCTGGCCTGGATGGTCACAGCTCCTCCCGTGGCAAATTCCCAAGGGAAATGCCTTCAGCAGACAGCCTCAGTCAGAAATGTGCATTAATTCCCAGACACAACATCCCCCAAGAAACTCCACAGCCCTGCTTGCAGATAAAAACCACAGAAACACAGAACATCCCGAGTTGGAAGTGACCCATAAGGATCAAAGTCCAACTCCAGGCCTGAGTGTAAAATACCATTTTTTTAAAATGTCAAGATGCAATTTTAGGCCAAAAAGGGAGCACAAGCCTGACTCCTCAGTGCTACACTCATTAACTGCTAATTGTCACACAATTTCAGGTGTCCAGATAACACACAAGCAGGACTTTGCATTTCATGGGTGGTTTGCATTCCTGTCCCTGAGAAAGATAACATGGATTCAGAACCACGTCCCTGCTTCTTCCTGTGAAATCCTCCTGCAGCCACAGAAGGGCTCCACAAGAAGCTGTGTGAGGCTTTCCCAGGCCCCCCAGCCCTGAAGCCCCAGGGCTTTTCTGAGCAGCTCTGGGCTGTCATGGAAGGGGAACCTGGCAGAGCAGCTGAGGAGTGCCAGGGCAGGGAGAGGACAAAGTCCTCACCTCCCTCACCCACCAACTGCTCGTGCTCCCAGCAGGAGCCTCCCCTGTGCCCAGCCCCAGAGCCTGCACTGCAAGCACAGCACACTCCCAGCTCTGGGCAGGGCAGGGGAGCTGCTGCTGCTGCCTCCCTGATGCCCAGATCCAACAAAATGCTCCAACATTCCTCTGCTCCTCACAGCAGTCGGGTCCACAAGCACAGACCACACTCTTCTCCCATTTTTCTCCCCATGAAGCATTTTCTTGGGTTTGTGTTTGGTTTTTTGGCTGTTGTTTTGGTTTGTTTAGCTGGGTTGCTTTAAGAAGATGCCAGAGTGAAGCTGGAGGACACAACACACGTGGCCCTTCCCACTTCACCCGTGTGAGCAGCCCCTCCTGCCACTGCCATCACAGCAGACCCAGGGAGGAGGTTTGGGACAGAGCTGCTCAGAGCTGCTCCCTTCCCAGGGAAGCCATTCCAGGTGCTGCAGACAGGAGAACTCTCCCCTCACAGCCCTGCTGATCTCCTTCCCAAGCCTCCCAGTGGAAAAGCTCCTTCCTCAGCAGCACATCCCTGTGCTTTACAGTTCCCTCTGCCAGGAACAAGGATTGCATTCATCAAAGGCAGCATCTTGCTACAATCTCAGTTGTTCATAATTGTTAAAATCAGACTTTATATCATGCACATTCTGTTTTAACACTGACAAGATCCCAGAAGATTCCCATCTGGCCAGTGACTCAAACCTGTGTTCCCTGGCTCTCTGCACTGCTTGGTTAATATGAAGTGGAAAAACAAGTTAGTGAATCCTGGCAAAAAATGTTTCTATTTTCAGGATATTATAATTCCAGACTTTTGTGTTCAGCTGACACCAATTTTTATGGAAAATTCCACCTAAGCCTCAGCTCTGACCTCCCAGCTTGGAGGCTGTCCTAACCCAAGCTGATACAGACTCAGCTGCAGCACCTGCCACACTGAGCAGCTTAACTCCTCATTCCTGGAAGGTGAAAGTCGCCTGAATTCCTCAGATCTCCTTCCTGACAGAGCACCAGATCAGTGTTTATCAGCAAACATACAACCTGAGTCACTAAATGTATAAAACACATGGATGGAGGACGCACCACACCCCAAAAGCAGCCAGTGAGAACCCACAGCAAGAGGGAACTACTGCACTGTATCTAACAACATTAGAGTGAGAGTAACTGATTAACTGCAACTCCTGCTTTAATCCTCCCAGAAAAAAAACCCTGGTGATTCAGAGAGAGGCAAAGGAGCAACCAGAGAGAACCAAGGCAAACACAAAGGGCAGTTTGGGACTTGGTTCGCTGAAGCCGATGCCAAAAACCCCTGATTTGATCATCAGCAGGACCAAAGCCTGCCTGGTGTGTCCCAGTGCCAGTGAGGATCTGCCACTGGCAGCACAGCACAGCACAGCACAGCAGCAGTGTCCTGTCAGTGGCAGGCTGTGTCTTGCACTGTCACAGCCTCAGTGACACCGAGGGACAGGGACCGAGCCCAGCCTGCTGCACTGGGCACAAGCTGTGCCACAGGGGGAGGGCACCTGGCGTGCATTTTGCAATCCTGGAGTGCAGTGAAGTGTGCTGCTGGGACAGCAGTGTCTGTGGCACTTCTACCTTTCGAATCCACGCCTGGGGCCCGCTGTTGGTGAGCTCGTCTGAGGACAGGATCTGTGCTCCAGTGCTGCCCGTGAACTGCCCAGGGATGGAGTTGGACTGAGCCCAGGCGTCGATCTGCAACAGCAAAACCCACTGTGAGACCAACAGCAACATCTCCTCCTTCTCCTCTGCGATTCCCTGCTGTTTGTCAGTCGTTTTCACATCATGCTGGTGATATCTGGTGGGTTCACTGACACTCGGAGGGAAGCAGGTGTTCCCAAAATCTGAGCATCTCAATGGTCACCCTGAAACCTGAGCTCCAGTGAGTTCAGCTCCTCCTCATCCCCAAAACTGCTGAATCCACTGTCTTGAAAAGAATTACCTGCATCTGTGCTGAACTACAGTAAAATTTAAAGAAAAATAAATCTGAAGCTATGTTTCAGAGTGACTTGGGTGAAAACATGGAATACATCAAGGAGCTCATCAAAACTCAGTGTTAAGAAGTGCAAAACCAAGGCAGAACTTCGAAACACTGGCCCACAACTGGGCTTCCAAACTTAGAGAGGAGAGAAAAATCAGCTGCTATGAAAGGGAAGCATTGCTTTTCCTCAAGCTGCCCAAAATGCTGCTGGAAGGCCCCAGCTTACCTGCTCCTGTGCCCTGTTCAGCATGCACATGGCCTCCAGGTCAAAGGAGTTCTCATTGAGCCTTTTCTGGGCCACTGCTCTGTCGTTCATGGCTGTGGTTATGTCCACACACTAGGAGGAAAAAGAGCATTTGTAAAAAATACAGCAGAGCACAACAATGTCCACTCGAGCTGGGAAAAGCTGCTGGAGAATCCATGCTACCAAAGTGGGGTTACACTGTGAATAGCTGGTTTGACAAGGAAATAGGCAAATGATGGAAATCCTGGGAATACTCAGATCCACACAAGATGGGTTTTCCTGAACAAAGAACAATCTGAATTTAAACTGTTAACTCCCTGGGAATTTAAAATCACTTGTACACACAAAATATCCAATGATTTATTTTCTAAGAATTATTTGTCACAAAAAATTCTGGTGTGTAATAAACAGAGAAGCATTTTACTGTTCAGTGAGATCTTCTTAACCAACAGAATTAAATGCAATTTAACTAAAAACTCATGCAGAGTTGTTCCCATGAGCACTCTGCTATTAAATCACACTAAGGCTTGTCTGTATAAAATAATTCCAGCATCAATCAGATGCCTTCCACAACCCTGACTTTAATGTTTCAAATTTTCATCTTCAGCCTAAGCCAGAAGGGAATGAAGATGGGGAAGGGGCTGGAGCCCCAGGAGGGGCTGAGGGAGCTGGGAAAGGGGCTGAGGCTGGAGAAAAGGAGGCTCAGGGGGGACCTTGTGGCTCTGCACAAGTCCCTGGCAGGAGGGGCAGGGAGGGGGGGTCGGGCTGTGCTCCAGGGAACAGGGACAGGAGGAGAGGGAACGGCCTCAGGCTGGGCCAGGGCAGGCTCAGCTTGGACAGCAGCAGGAATTTCCCCATGGAAAGGGAGCTCAGGCCTTGGCAGGGGCTGCCCAGGGAGCTTTGGAGTGCCCATCCCTGCAGGTGGCACCTGGAGGTGGCACTCAGGGTGCCAAGGTGGCCATGGGGCACAGCTGGGACTGCAGGGGCTGGGAGGGCTTTGCCAGCCTCGGGGATTCTGTAAAACCAGGCTGTGAGCTCACAGAATCCACTGCTTTATCTACATCTGTGCTTCTGAACTACAGAAAAATATAAAGAAAAATAAATCTGAAAGGATGTTGTGGAGTGACTTGGTGAAAACGTGAAATACAGGAAGGAGCTCACTGCAAACCTTCACTCTGGGCAAAGCCATGGGAGAGAAATCCACAACATTTGGGGCTCTAAAAATATAACAAATTCTGGCTGGTGTGCAGCTGTTTTATAAAATCTTTGTGCCCTGCTCCTCAAGGGATTCTGTGATCATTCTGTTTGGAAAGCAGAAAGGGAAGAGTGAGCAAAGACAAATGGAATTTCTTGAGATGTGACAGAAGCTGGAAGGGCTGGGACTGTTTGAGGGACAGAAGAAACCAAATAATCAGAACAGCAGCTGGCACACACACACACACACCCCCCAAGGTCATGGATTAACCTGAACTTCATTTTCATTTGCTTTGTAAAAGCCTTGCCCTTTTTGTTGGCACTATCCAACCTCGACCTCTCACACATTTTCTACTAAAGGGCCAGCAGGAGAAACTGAAACTCCTTTAAAATTGACTCAGCTGAACAAAACAAACACTGTTAAACCATAAATCCTTGTCCCAGGAACTTGGTCAATAATTCAGTAAATGCTGAAAGGAAGAGACAGATATGAACATCTACAATGGCATCAAACACAGGAACTGCTTTTGTGCTCTATTAAATCTGATTTTAAGATTTTTTTTTGCTGGTGTTAAGGATAAAGGTGTTTCTGTTGGGAAGAGCAAAAATCCCACAGGTCCCAGGTGTCTATGGACTGAGTACAGTGCTTATTTCTTGTCACACAGAACACAGAAAAGGCACAAGAAGAATTAAAATATTATCTAACAATACCCTCACACAACAGCATGGATGCAAAAATGCCTTTTTCAAATGCACACTGGGCTGAGTTTTCAAGTCTTTCTCACATACTTAAAATAATTCTTTAATTTTCTGTTTGTGAAACTGGTCCAGGAGATAAATAAAAGTTTTTCTACTCACCAAAAGTTTCAATCCAGCAATACACAAAGGCATGGAAGCAGTCCATGAAAGCACAGGGGACCACTGCCATGCTAAACAGGTGTATTAGTGCTTTACCAAACTGGGGCCTAGCAACACTCCCTGCTGGGTTAATTCCCAAACACTGCTCCATTTTGGAGACCATCAGGGCTCTGTGTTATGTCAACACACTCGATGGCAGCTTTGGATCTTGAGAAAAAAAAAATAAAAAAAAATCTCTGCTTGAGGTATCAGAAGTTGTTGTTATTCCTGAGTCAAGGAAAACAGGTGGAAGTGAGGTGCTGCTCTCTCCTGGCTCATCCCCTCTCTCAGACTTGCCCCCAACAAATCACAAATACTGAAGCAAATAAAAATAAAAATAAAAAGCAGGTGTTTTATACACTCTGGAGGTGCATGAATGCTTTTATTGCATCCTTAGATCCCAACCAGGAGTCATTTGGGATAACCCAACCCTGCCACTCCACACTTCCAAACTTTCCTTTCCCCACAGGTCTCTGCTTGCTAAAGGCATGGTGAGCCCTGAGATCACTCCAGACCTTCCCCTCCATCTCCTACTACCACACACAACGACTTTAAGGCATCAGGTTTTGTTAAAACAAATTGTAATGTATTAGCAGGGTCATTTCACACTAAGCCCAGAACTAACATGTGAATTAAAACACAGCAACAAAACCAATTGTGTTTGGTTTAATGTCGAGAATTGCATCAGAACTGTCACAGTATTGCAAAATCAGCAACAATGAATGGAGGTCAATTCTAAGTGAAACTTCCTAAAATTCCAAGCACCCCCAGCTCTCTACTCCCCCAGCAAGGGAGGTGATGTGCCTCATGTTGCTCCAAGGGAGCCATTTCCAGCACAGAGTCCTCCTGAACATGAGAGAATTAACAGAGAATCACTGTGTTACCTGTCAGACTCCCTGGAGAAACACACAGCACTTCTGTACCTGCACTTCCCAAACCCCAGGGCATGGTACTGCTGGGAGCTAGCACCCCTGAAATCACCCTTAACACAAACCAAGTTAAGGTCAAGGCAAATAAAAATATTTATTTACAAAATATAAAAACAGACAACATAGTTACAGGCATTTATAAAGATATACACAACAGGAAGGAAACGAAGTTAAATATATTTACTGCAATGAAATTGGGAATGACATTCTGCACAACATCTCAGGGTTTCACTGGAGCAGGAGAGCCCAAAGTGCAGCTCCCACCTGTGCTGAGGGAAGAAGGAACTGGGTGCCCAACCATCAAATTCTGAGGGATTCCACAAAAATGCTGGCTAAGTTATGTGCTCTGTGCTTTTGGTGCTGTGAAAGAGGCAGAAGAAAATTCCTTCTGTGCCTCAGGGAATGAATTGAACAATACCAGAAAGGCCTTGAGAAACAGAATGCACAAAGTGCTGAGATGGCTTTGTCAGAAATTGATGGGGAGGCTTTGGGGTTTGACTTTGAAAGGTGTGAGAACAAGGCTTCAGGTGCATTGAGGCAAAATCAACTTAAAAATATTAACATCTGTCTTAAATATTTAATTTACTTAATTACAACGACCTCCAAAAATGTTCTTTGGAAGAAATTTCAAGGGGAAAACCACTTGCTTTGTTGGTTTTTTTTGAGTTTATTATCCATACAATTATATTCTCCTTTGGAAGGCCACGTGCAAGACAGCCATGGGAGAAAAAGTGAGTGGAAAGCTAAAAAATTAATCCATCCAGAGGAAGTGACTTAAGAGTTTTTAATGGATTACATTCCAGTGTGATGTTCCTGTTCTAAGACCGGTGGGACAATTTTAATTAGTACTACAAACATTATTGTGCAAATCTCAAGGTATTATTAATTAACCTCTGCAGGAAACTGAACGAGGAAAGGTTTTTCATCTTCCAGCTACAATTTAAATCCTGTTGAGACCAAGAAGTCACCAGCTACCAGAAGCAGGATGGGCACAGGCTGCTTTCCAGCACTCCCCACGTGCAAATCCCCACTTGCAGAGCTCAGCTCCTCAGCTTTAGCGTTAGGCATTACCTTTTTTTTAAGTGCCTTTTTTTTTTTTTCTTTTTTCACACTTCAATTTGGTATCAGACTGCCCAGGTGATGGTTTGGGGTTTTTTATATGATATGCTCTCCTTGCCTTCCTTACCTCAATGGCTGGCTTGGGGAACACATCGTCCTTGCCGTCGTCTTTGCCGTTTTTGTCCACGGGAACCCACTCTCCATACACACTGTCTGCCTCCTTCTTCCTATGCTGAGACCCAGAGGAAACAGGGAATTCCTTGGACAGGCTGACCTGGTTTTTTGGTTGGGGTGGTGGTGCTGGTTTTATGCTGGGAGTCTGAAAGAAATAAAATGAGAAGAAGTTAAGAGTTGGAAATAGCCAAGAGTCATGAGGTGGTTTTGTTGTAAATACCTGAGATTTGACTTTTAACACTCATTCTTACTCCAGAGTAATAAATCTTTATAATTAATCATTTGGGCACACAAGTGATTCACAAATTGTGCTATGAGAGAGATGAAAAACCCCTTAAAACAATTTCAGCAACCCAAAATCCCCGACCCTCCTCTCCCAACTGACCCCATTCACACTGAGAACAATCTCCACCTGCCACACAGGTATTTTATATGGAAAGCTCCAAGGGAAAAATCCTGGGCAGCAAAACATTGCTGTGATCAAAAACTCCCCATGAGTGGAGAGAAAGCAGCTCTGAGCATTTGGGTTTCTAATTCTGGCCTATTTTTAGCAGTCCCTGAGCAGACAATGTCTATGGCCTTGTTTTGCTTGGTGTTGTTAATGCATTAAAAACCTGCAGAAATCCCTGCCAGGTTCCCTTCCAGAGGCAAACACAGCTGGCAGCACTGGGTAATACTGGAGAAATTCCTAGGAATATGGATGGGAATGGTTTTAGGAGAGAGAAAGAACAAAACTAAAAGGGGCAAAAACAAGACCAAGAGGCAGAGCAGCCCATAACCACCACAGAACATTTCTCCTCAGAGCCTGGAACAATTCCAAGGTTTCTTGAGTTTCCTTGTAGCCATTTCTAGCAATACAATATAAAATATAAATCCATTTCTACCTTACACCTTACATAAACGTGCACTACTGCTTATTTTGTGCACCCCACAAGCTATACATATTTATACACAAAACCAGGGATTTTATTTCTATTTTTGCTGAGCACATTAAAGCTTTTTTAGTGCTTTATACCCTGCAAAATCAGAACAAACTTTCATGGGCACAACGCCCCCCACCCCAAATAAAACTGAAAAAAACCCACTCACCTCCCCCAAAAACCCCAACAAAATTTTAAAAAATCCATGTTTCAAAGCATTTGATTTCCAGATGCATTTAAAGAAATATTCACAATTTTACTGAGATTATCAATTTAATCTTGATGGAATTGGGAGTGTTTCTTTTAAATTGATTTAAAAGTACTCCCAGTTTCACCAAGATTATCAACCCTTGATACATTTCTGTAGAATTACTTGCATTATTTAAAAAGAACCAGGATTTAAAGCATTGAAAATATAAATAGCACTCACACTTAAATTGAAGAAAATAGGTTTGGGTTCACTCAGCTTAAAAGGATGGTTATAGAAAGGACGTTCTTCCTCCTCTTCATCAGAAACATGAGGCTTGTTCACTATCACATCATCAGTGCTCTGAGCAATCTTCTTGCATTTCTGAAAAATAAATCAGAGGGGAAATCTCAGCTCTGAGGAAATCTCAACTTTCAACTCAAACTCACAAAGAACATTTCTATCCAAAAAAGTGCTTTTCTTTACTAAAGCAGGAGGTGGAAAATCTTTCAGCAACAGCATCAATAGATGTATTTTGGATGTTCTACACAAATGATCCAACACCACCATGGCTTTGCCAGGCACTCCTTGGTTACTGACTCAGCTCTCTGGCACTGCAGAGAAGCGCAGAAGAGCTCAGATTCTTCTGCAATACTGGGGTGCAAGACACCCCCATCCAGAATTAAACACAGAGCTGCTATGGGGATACCACAGCCAAACTGGGAGGAACCTCCATGGGGGGAAAAGAAAAGAGAAGAAGAAAAGCACCAAAGACAAAAATACTTTCTTGAGAGGTCAGAATTTTATGGTTAAAATGTCTTTTTCCTGATTTCCTACCACCTGCACTGCTTCTGTGGATAATTTTGAGTCAAAAGAACAGAAACATCATTCAACAGATCTCCTGGAAAGGGAAGGGAGGTGCAGATCTGGGGCCTGCAGATCAGCACAAGCTGGATCTTGGTCAGGGTACATGAAAAACCACCCAGGATGGCACCACAGGGCACCTGCACCAACTCAGCTCTTCTGAGTTCAGGACTCCTGCTCCCCCAGCCCAGGCACAACTGCAGATTATCCCTCAGCAACTGGACATTGCTTCATCTCAGATTACTTCTATAAACACAGTTTCAGAATTGTCACAGTTATGATGCAATTAAAAAAAAAAAAATTAAGACACTCTTCTATTCCAGATTTTCTCCATTCTGAGGAGCAGCTGAGGCTGCCCCTGGAATCCTGGAAGTGTCCAAGGCCAGGCTGGACAGGGCTTGGAGCACCCTGGGACAGAGGAAGGTGTTCCTGCCCATGGCAGGGGGTAGGACAGGCTGAGCTTTGAAGTTCCTTCCAACTCAAACCATAACCAACAACACCAGAACAAAAAATCAGGAGTGAAAGCTTTGGATTTCACTGACACGACTGCAGGCACAACCACCTACTTGTATAAAATTAGAATAGGATCAAAATTACCAGTAAGAAAAAGCAAAATAATTTGATTTCATGCATTTCCATGGAATTAAAAATACCAGTTTTGGTGACTTAAAACAAAACTGTGTGGAGAATAAGGGCTCAAAAGGGAGCTCAGGCCTTGGCAGGGGCTGCCCAGGGAGCTTTGGAGTGCCCATCCCTGCAGGTGGCACCTGGAGGTGGCACTCAGGGTGCCAAGGTGGCCATGGGGCACAGCTGGGACTGCAGGGGCTGGGAGGGCTTTGCCAGCCCCGGGGATTTGGGGATTCTGAACACAAAGCAGCTCCCAGGTGACAGCAGCACGCAGTGACAACCTCCCAAAAAAATCACCACGCTCAGTGTGCTCATTTCCAGGCTTGATGCTGCTGCTCTCCCTCACCTCAGTGAGCTCCTTCAGGGTGTCCCTCGAGGATTTCTGGTTGGCTTTGTCATCCTTCTTCTGGGACAGCAGAGGCATCAGGCTGGGGGGTAAGGGCACGCCAGACTTCGCACACATGGCGGCCGCGTTGGCTTTGGCGATTTCAAGTAGCTGGGCTTTGTCTAAAAACATTTGGGTTTTTTTTTTAAAGAGAAGTTATTTTTTTAATAGATTCTTGATAAAGAAAGGTTTCTGGCTAACTAAGCAAGATTCTACCTGCACTTTGTATTTTTGATGTTCTGTGAAAATAACAGGAAGTGCACTGAGCTGCTCCAGACATTAAGGCTGGGCTGTGCACAAGGCAAGTGAAGCTGATGATGTAACCCAAAGCAGTCCCAACTACAACATCCTCAAGTTCTGATGTCTCTTACTGCACTGATTCATTGCTGTTTTGGCAATACTGAGTCCTTCCTACACAGCATAAAGTGCAGAGTTTCCTCATTATCCCTCTCTGAAAAGCTCTCAAACCTCTGAGGAAGTCTCCTCTCCCCACCTGTAGCCCAAAAGCTACTTACAACCACCAAATAGAAAAATAAGCTGAGGAAAACCTGCTCTTGCTTAAAATACAATTAGATGCAAAACTGTGAACAGAACAGCATTTTGCTTTAATAAGGAGGAAAAGGACAGCCCTAACATAGATATAGGAAATTAAATTAAATTAAGCCTTCTGCCAGTTTGCAAATAACTCCCTAACTGGAAGGCTTCCATGGCAACTCTGAGGCAGGACTGGAAGGTTCAGAACCTCAAGTCCACCACAAGAGGTTTCCTCACACACTGTACAAGAGATTATCTCCCAGTTCAAATCTACTTTCCCCTTATTAATTCACTACCCAGGGAAATAACATAGCCTCTCTTCCTCCAAGCAGAGAGAAAAGATGCAGCTCCTAGGATTTGATTTTATTTTCCAACCTGCTGGGTCTGTTTTCAGAAATAAGTCTCTTTCCTTTACATTCTTACATGGGAAAGAGGCAAGACAGAGTTCTGGAAACAGCTGACAACAGAGCTTGGGACTCTCCAACTGGCACCTGAATGACCTTTGTTCTCAGGAGCAGAAATTCTAAATTTTCTTACAAATAAAAGAATGTAAGATTTCTTTCTTATGTACTTTCTTACATACAAGTACTTGGCCTTTACTAATACCACGTAGAACATTCCTGGAGACTGCAACACACTACTTTTGTAAAAAAGCTCCAGAACCAAGGTAAAACTGGCTCTGAAGAGGATTTCATCCAAATGCTCAGTGTCGATTCTGCTCCAACATAAAAGCTCCTGCTGGAAGTCACTGCCTACAACTAACGCTCAGGAATCCCTTATGAACGCTCCAGAGCTAAAACCAGACTATGCAAATCCACCCAGCGCCACCTCACCACGGATCTACTGAAAAATACCGGGAATAAAGCAGCGACTTACCCAGGTCTGTGAGACGTTTGGGTGACCTGCTGGAGAACTCGGAGGACCTGGACCTGCGCCGGTCGGGGGATCTGCTGTAGCGCCTTCTCCCCGAGGAGCGCGAGCGGCGCAGCCGGATCGGGGACCTGCTGGAGCTGCGCCTCCTTCCCCGCGAGCGCGAGCGCCGCTGCCGCAGGGGGGTCCTGCTCCTGCTCCGCAGGCGCAGCGATATCCTGCGGTCTCTCGAGTCCGACCTCCTCCTCCTCCTGTCCGTAGACCTCGACCTGTTTCTCTGAGACCTCTTGCGCCGGTCTCTGGACAAGGAGCGCCGCCTTCGCGACGCCGACCGTGACCTGCTCCTCCTCCTGTGCCTGGATCGTGACACGGAGCTGGAGCGGGATCTGGATGCTCTCCTGCGCGTCGCTGACCTGGAGCGGTTCCGTCGGGAGCGCGAGTCTGTGTCGTATCTCTTGGATCTGCGCTGGGAGGACCTGGAGCGCCGGCTCCTGGACCTGCGGGATGATTCCTTGTCTGCTGTTTTCTCCACAGACTTGGACTGGCTCCTCTGGCGAGCAGCGGACCTGGAGCGTCTCCGCCGGGACCTGCGCGAGGACTCCTTGTCTGCCGTTTTCTCCACAGACGTTGACTGGCTCCTCTGGCGAGCCGTGGAGCGGGAGCGTCTCCGTCGGTACCTCCGCACGGACTCTTTGTCTGCTGCTTTTTCTACAGATGTGGATCGGCTCTTTGGGCGAGCAGGAGACTTTGAGTGTCTGCTGACAGATCTCTGTGGAGACTCCTTGTCAGATGTTTTGTCAATGGACTTGGATCTGGATTTTTCACGTTCAGAAGACTCAGAGCGTCTACTTTCAGGGACAAAGGAAGAGTCCTGCTCCTCTGACTGCTCCAGAGGCACGGAATCCTGCTTTTCCTCATCCGCCAAAGAGGGCTCTGCATCCTCCCCCTCCTCTTCACCACTGGAAGACTCTGACTCATGCTCATCTGACGATGTGGACTCTCTTTGTTCAGCTGTCAAGGAGGGCTCTGCATCGTCTCCTTCTTCCTCAGCAGTGGTAGACCTCGATTCAGCCCCATCAGGGGATGCAGAACGTCTGTGTTCAGCTGCCAGAGGTTCCACATCCTCAGCTTCTTCACCAGCAGTAGACCTTGACTCTTGCTCGTCTGATGAGGTGGAATCTCTTTGTTCAGCTGCTGAGGAGGGTTCCACATCCTCTGCGTCTTCACCAGCAGTAGATCTTGACTCCTGCTCATCTGAAGATGTGGAGTGTCTACGCTCAGCTGTCAAAGAGAGCTCCTGGTCCTCTGCTTCCTCACCAACGGTTGACCTTGACTCACGTCCATCAGGAGACACAGAGCGATGCTCAGCTGTCAAATCCTCTGCTTCTTCATCAGCTGTAGACCTCGAGTCACGGTCATCAGAAGATGTGGAGTGTCTACGTTCAGCTGTCAAGGAGGGCTCCCCATCTTCCACATCTTCCCCAGCAGCAGACCTCGACTCACGGTCATCAGAGGATACGGAGTCTCTTCTTCCAGCTGCCAAAGAGGTCTCTGCATCCTCTGCCTCTTCTCCAGTGGTTGACCTTGACTCGTGCTCATCAGAGGACTCAGAGCACCGATGTTCTGTTGTCTGCTGCTCCAGATCCTCTGCTTCTTCACCAATGCTAGATCTTGACTCGTGCTCATCAGGGGAAGTGGAACGCCTCTCCAGATCATCCATTTCATCTGCAGTAGATTTCTGGTCATGGCCCTCAGGGGACACGGATCGTCTGTGTTCAGAAGTCACAGAGGACTCCAGACCCTCTTCCTCCATGGGAGACTTTGGCTCGTGCCCTTCCTGGTAGGAGGATGTGGAGTATCTACGTTCAGATCTCAAAGAGGGCTCCAGATCCCCCGCTTCTTCACCAGGGCCTGATCTCACGCTGTAGTTATCAGGAGACACCGAGCGCCCTTCAGGCATTAAAGAAGGCATTGCATGATCCATTTTTTCAACAGGGATGGATTTCAAGTCACTGTCATCAGGGGACATGGAGGCTCTATCATTCAGTGTTGAAGGTTCGAGACCGTCTACTTTTCCAACAGTGGTGAATCTCAGCTCCTGCCCGTCAGGTGATGCTCCATGTTCATTTTCAGGTGTTGGAGAATGGTCCTGCACATCTGCTTTCTGAAGAGAGGTGAAACTCACCTCCTGGCTCTCGAAAAAGAGATGGTCACGTTCAGCTGTCAAAGCAGAGTCCACACCCTCCGTTTTCTCAGCATGTGCCAATCTTGACACGTACTCTTCAGGTGACAGAGCATGTTCAGATGTCAGAGAAGGTTCCTTGGCTGTTACTCTTTCAGCAGGGCTGGACTGCAGCTCCTGACCTTCAGGGGTCATGGAACATTCACCTTCAGACAAGGAAAACTCCTGCACCTCTGTTTTTCCAACAACAGCAGACTGCACTTCCTGGCTGTCGGTGGATATTGAACTTTCACTTTCAGACGCTTCAGAATGTTCCTCCAATTCTTCTTTTTCAACAGGACTGGATCTCAAATGAGGCCTTTCAGGGGATGCATGGTACTCGTTTTCAGGCAGCAAAGAACACTCCTGCACCTCTGGTTTTTCAGTGTAAGCACAGAGCAGCTCCTGCCCTCTGGGAGATGCAGCATATTGGCTGTCTGGGACCAGCACTGGCTCCCGCACTGCTGTGCTTTCAGCTAGGCCAGACTGCAGAATTTGGCCTTGACGGAAGATGGAATATTCACTGCCAGCTGTCACAGAAGGCTCCTGCACCTCCTTCTCAGCAGGGCTGGCTGTCACCTCCTGGTCCTCAGTAGTCTCACCATATTCATTTTCAGGCAGCAGAGAACGCTCCTGCACTTCTGGTTTTCCGGCCAAGAAAGAGGACAATCTGTGATCGTTGGAAGCCACAGCACTGTCAGGAACCACAGCCTCCTCCTGCATCTCTGCCCTCTCAGGAGAGCTGGACCTCAACTCCTGGCTCACCCAGGACACAGCATGTTCATTTTCAGACACCAGAGCAGGCTGTTGCACCTGTGTCTTTTCAGCAGAGTCCTGGCTGTCGATGGACTCCAAACATCTTTCTTCAGGCATCTGATACAGCTTCCGCAGCTCTGCTTTTTCAGCAGGGGTTGATGTCAACTCTGGGCCATCAAGCCCTATGGTGTACTCATTTTCAGACACTTGAGAAGGCTCCTCAGCTCTTTCAAGAGGGGTGGATTCCAACTCATGACCATCAGAGGCAACAGAACATCTGCTTTGCAGTATCAGAAAGGGCTCGTGCACCTGTATTTCTTCACTGTAGGCAGATCTCAGCTTGTAGCCATCAGGGGACACCAGGTGTTTGAGTTCAGATGAATTCAGCACCTCTGCTTTTTCTGCAGGGACGGGTCTCAGCTCGTGGCTGTCGGGCAACAGCAGAATCCCCCCTTCCGTTGTCACAGCACTTGCTGGGGGCTGCAGTTTTTCAGGTGTGCCCACTGATTCACAGCCATCAGCAGACACAGAGAAGCCACTTTCCAGTGACAGGGAAGGCTTCTGGATCTCCACTTTTTCAACTGCAGCAGATGTCAATTTATAGCCTTCAGGAAAGATGGAACACCGGAGCTCAGACGCCACTGACAGCTCTGCACTCTCTGTCTGCTCAAAGGAATTGTACTTTGCTCTGTGGCCATCGTGGCATATGGGAATCCCACTTTTAGACATCACCAAAGATCCTGCACCGTCTATTTTTCCAGTTAGGTATCTCGATTCGTGCATTTCTGAAGATCTGGAGCAGTCAACCTCGAGTACTTGTGGAAGTGTTGGACCGTCTAAACCTTTGTCAACAGATGATCTGGACTCATGAACTTCGTAAGAAGACACTGAAATTATGTCAGCAGACACCTCAACAGAACCACACACAGATGTCAGGGAAACATCCGGAGCCTTGACCTTTTCAACAGATAAAAATCTTTGCTCATTTCCAAGTGGTGACTTAAAGGACTCGCCTACAGACAAGGGATGCTCCTCTACTGGTGCAGCAAAGCTGGATCCTGATCCATGTCCATCAGCAGACATGAAATGTCCACTGTCAGGAATCAGAGGACGCTCCTGCACCTGGCCTGACTCACAGCCATCGGGGATCACAGGACGGATCATCTCAGGTGGCAGGAAAGGCCTCTGAGCTTCCACGGCCCCAGGGCTGTCAGCCAGCTGGGAGGACTCACGTTCAGGTACCTGCAGAACGTGTGAGAGCTCTGTGTGCTCACCAGGGATATGCTGTGATTGGTGACCATCAGACAATTTGGAGAGCCCACCTTCGGACTGCACAGAAGACGACTGACCTTGCTTGTCTCTAAGTGCTGGAGGAAGCTCTGGACCTTCTACTTCTTTGAGAGGTGCAGTTCTGGACTCATCTTCACGGGATGCAGACAGATGGAATTCTGCTACTGAAGAAGTTTCTAGATCTCCCCTTTTTTCAACAGATGAGGATCTTGACTTGGATGTGGAGTATGGAAGTTCAGGTAGCGGTGAAGACTCCAGAGCTGCTGTTTTTTCAGTTGATCCATTTTCAGATGTCATAGACAGCTCTGAATCCTGAGTTTTTTCCACAGACGTGGATCTCAATTCCTGGTCATCTGGGGCTTTGGAGGTATCAAATTCAGATGTGGCAGAATGCTGCAGATCTGCTGGTTTTTCAACAGCTGAGGAGCTTTCCTCAAGGCTCTCTGAAGTTTTGGAAAATCCACTTCCAAATGATGGTGGCAGCACTGGGCCATTTACTCCTTCATCAGGCAAAGCTCCTGATGTGGGACCATTAGAGGATTTACCTTCACTTCCAAAAGAAGACTGAGGAACATCTTTATCAAGACCTTTGGCTGACTCCTGAAGTTCAGAAGACTCTACATGCTTGCTACTGGACTTTGATGAGGATGACTTATCTTTCTTTTCTACAGATTTGGACCTTGACTTAACACTGTCAGAGGACTTGGAACGTTTCCGTTTGGATTTTTTTGAAGACTCCTTGCGCTTTTTTTCGACAGACCTGGACCTAGACTTGTAACGTTCAGAAGATTTTGAGCGTCGACGCTTGGATTTTCGTGAGGATTCCTTCTTTTTTTCCACTGATTTGGATCTAGACTTGTAACGCTCAGAGGACTTGGAGCGCTGACGTTTAGACTTCCGTGATGATTGCTTTCTTTTTTCTACTGACCTGGATCGAGACTTGTAGCGATCCGAGGACTTTGAGCGCTGGCGTTTGGACCGACGAACAGACGCCTTCCGACCTCTCTTCTCAACAGATCTTGACCTGGATTTTGAACGATCAGAGGAACCAGACCGATGTCTGAACCTCCAGGAGTATTCTTTGCCTCCTCCCTTTTCTGAAGACCTGGATCTCGATTTTGACCGGTCAGAGGACCTGGAATGTCTGCGGCGGGATCGCCAGGAGGACAACCTCTTCTCCACTGACCGTGACTTCGACCTGTAGCGGTCGGACGACCTGGAACGTCTGCGCCCGGATCTTCGAGAGGACAATCGCTTCTCCACTGACCTGGACTTGGATCTGTAGCGGTCAGAAGATCGGGAACGTCTGCGCCCGGACCTTCGGGAGGACAATCGCTTTTCTGCTGATCTGGACTTGGATCTGTAGCGGTCAGAGGACCTGGAACGCCTGCGCCCGGATCTTCGGGAGGACAATCGCTTCTCCACCGACCGTGACTTCGACCTGTAGCGGTCAGAGGACCTGGAACGTCTGCGCCCGGACCTTCGGGAGGACAATCGCTTCTCCACTGACCTGGACTTGGATCTGTAGCGGTCGGATGACCTGGAACGTCTGCGCCTGGACCTTCGGGAGGACAATCGCTTCTCCACCGACCTGGACTTGGACCTGTAGCGGTCAGAGGACCTGGAACGTCTGCGCCCGGACCTTCGGGAGGACAATCGCTTCTCCACCGACCTGGATTTAGACCTGTAGTGGTCAGAAGACCTGGAACGTCTCCGTCTGGACAATCTCTTTTCTGCTGATCTGGATTTAGACCTGTAACGGTCAGAGGACCTAGAACGTCTGCGCCTGGACCGCCGGGAAGACACTCTTCTCTCTCTCTTCTCCACAGATCGGGACCTAGATTTGGAATGCTTTTTTCTGGAAACTGAATAGTTTCTGCTCCTAGAGCGTGCTCTTTTAGAGGTCAAACGCCTGGAAGTAGAACGTGACCTTGATTTTTTCTTCCGCTTCCTAGACCTGGACTGAGACTTGGAACGGCTCCTTTTCTGTTTCTTTGAATCATGTTTTTTCTCACTGGTTCTATGACTGCTTTTTTCAACAACATTTTCAAGCCTCATGAGAGTCTCCTTCATTCGTGCCGCCACATCAGGTTGCACGTCAGATGTTTCTGAGTCTCTTTTCTCTGAGTCCTCTTCTGGAGTTGCTTCTTTGACATCTTCAGCCTCTGGAGTGTCTTCCAACTGGCCTTCTTCTATAAGTTCTGGACCTGCTTCTGCATCAGTCTCAGGTACTGGAGCTGCTTCCAAATCTTTTGTTTCTGCCTCCACCCCTACAGCTGCTTCTGCATCTTTCAGCTCTGTATCAGTCCGAGCAGCTGTTTCCAAATCTTGTGTTTCTGCTACAGGAGTCTCTGCTGACACTTCTTCCTCTGCTGCACGTGAAGAACCAAAAGCTGTTTCTGTTACTAAAGGCTCTGATGTTTGAGTCTGCTCTACATCTTCCTTATCAATCACCATATCCTCCACCTGGTGACTCTGTACTCCTTCTACATATTGTACCTCTGCTGTCACTTCATGCTCCAGTCTGGTTTCCAGGCCTTTCACATCCCCTAGTTCTGGAACTGCTTCAGAAGATTTTATTTCAGAAGCACCCAAGATTTCCGGAGCCTCTTCTGCACTCTTCCATTCTGCAGCAGGTTTTGCTTCTAGAACTACCTGAAGCTCTTGTTGCTTTTCGGCAGGCAAATACTCTGGAACAGCTGCTGAAGCATCACCCATGGGTACCTCCAGCTCTTCACCTGCTCCAGCACTCTCCAACCACCTCACTCCTCCAGCTTCTGATGCTGGCTCCAGATATTTTGCTTTCTCAATTTCTGAGGGCTCATTACTTTGTGTGCTGGTCCTTCTTGCTGCAATTTCATGTTCTACAGTAGATCCCTGAGTTTGCACATCGGTGAATTCTGTCACTACTCCTGATGCCATACTGTTTTCTTCCACTCTGGGCAAAGACTCCAATACTGCTGCTGAATGATCTACTATTTGTTCCTGAATAGATTTTGAACTGGTTTCTGAAGTTTGCACAGCTTCTAGGATTGCTTCTCTGCTCCTTGTCTCAGCTTCTGGAACATGTTCTGAATCCTTTCTTTCCCTCAGCACCTCAGTTTGTGAGGTTCTTGTGTGTGTCACGACCTGTGACTGTGCAATGATGGAACTCTCTGTTTGGCTGGCGTGGAGAGGTTCTGTCTCTGCTGTGGCTTGCCATGGCATCACCCCTGCCGATGCCTCAGCCTCTCTAACTGGTTCCACGCTTTCATGTACAACCACAGCTTCAGGAGTCCTTTCCAAGGCAGGAAGTCCTGGACTTGCAACAGTCCCACAATGCATAGCTTCTGAAGCTTGCACACCTTCCATTTGTAATGACATCGAAGCTGTTGTAAAAGTCTTTGCTTCCACCACAGCCACTGGTCTCAGGACTCCTCCTGGACCCTGTGTGTTTTCCCTCTGCAAAGACAGGGCAGATGCCAAACCTCTCACGTGTGACTCGCCCTCAGGTCTCGATTCTCTCAGCAATGAAGTAGCTTCTGAATCTTTTGCTCGTGGACTTCTAAAACCCTCTGCCATCTGGACTTCTGGAGCTGTTTGGGGAACGAAGGTCTGTACAACTGCTGCGGGTTCTGAAGCTGCTCTTAATCCTTTTGCCTCTGCAACCACATTAACACCTATCAATCCTGCTGGAAGTGCAGATCCCTGGGTTCTGTCCACACTCATTTCTGTCGAGGCCCCATGTTGTAGGAACATTCCTGATGCACCCAGCGCTGTTGCAGGACCTGTGGTACCTTCCACACTTTTGCCTTGCAGAATTTCGTGAGCTGCTCTGACATCTTTTGTTACAACACCCACCGGTTCCATGGCTGTTTCTGAAGCTTTCACATTTCCTATAGCTGGTTCCATATCCTCCATTTTTGTAACAGCTCCTGGTCCTGGAGGTGTTTCGGCACTTTTTATTTCCACGTGGGTCACAGGGGTGGCTGCAGGTATTGTCAAAGGATGTTGCAAAGGTACACCTGCTTTTAGAACACTGGAAGCCTCCAAGGGGCTGCTCTGTGTCATGCTCAAAGTCCCAGACATAACTGAGGGCTGCAGGGATGGCTCCAAAGTTCTGCTCACACCCCCCAGTTCTGAAGATCTCTCCACACTTCTCACATTTCCCATGTGCAGAGGTTTTTCAGTTGTTTCTGGAATTGTCACTTCTTGCCCAGCCACAGCCACGTGAGCTACAGTCACAGCACTTGGATGTGCCCAGTTTGCAGGTGTGGGAGCTGTGACACCACTTGCCAAGGACACGAATTCTGAAGGTGTTTCCAACCCCTGAGACACAGACTGATGAGATGCTTCTGAATAAGTCAACACCTCCATGGTCTCAGGCTCAAGAGCTGCGTCTGAAACTTTTACTTCCCCAATGCCTTGAGATGTCAGAGTGACTTCTGTACCTCTTAGTGCTTCTACAGAATCTTTCTGAATCTCCGATTTACTGACAATTCCAGATGGGATGCTGGACCAAGTATAATTTCCAGTATCAACAACACTGGCATTAATAGCTACAGGATAAATATTTTCATGGGACTGTTGAATTTGTTCTTCGCTAGTGCAAATTCTAGTTTGAGCTATACTAGTATTTTCTGGGATATTAGACTGGATGCTTTCTAAATTAAATGGAGGATTTGTTGCACACAAAGTCCCCTCCCCACTTCCAAGATTTTCTGCAGATTGCTGAGAATCAGTCACTGAATGAGAAACAAGTCCTAAAGCTTGATTATCAAGCCCCTCAGTTGGTTTTGAGCACAGTTCTGGCTGCACTTGGCCAGCCAGGTTTGCATCTGCAAACACTCCATGCTGTACATTCACTTGGGAGCTGGACTGCTCTGGCATCAAGTGAGGAGCTGGCTGCACACCTGCAGGTTCTCCTGGACGTGCACTCAACTTGCATTCCTTTGGTTGCTTTTTATGCTTTTTCTCTTTCTTCCTTTTCTTCTTCTTTTTCTTCTTCTTCTTACTTTTGTGTTTCTTGTTTTTCTTTGCTTTTTTCCTAGGAATTTCATCTTCACCAGTTGAGCTCCTTTTTGTGGACTGAGCACTATTTTTCACAGTATTTTTGTCTACATCTAGAAAAAAATGACATTTACCTTGTAAACACTTACAAGACTGCATTTAAAAAATTCTTTCAGAGTAGTTGTGAAGTACATGGATAGAGGTACAAAACAATTAAACTTGCAAACCATGCCTGATTCACTAAACTACCACACACAAACAGCACACACTCCCTTTCCAGCTCCTTTTCCTTCCTCTCAGAGTTACTTTAAAGAACAAAACAACACTCCTTTCAAAAAATAACCCAAACCTTGTTAGTCAGGACAGAGGTCCAGGGGGAACACAGGTATTTCCAAGTGATATCAGAGTCATGGAATGGTTTGGGTTGGAGGAACATTAAATCCCACCCAGAGCCACCCCTGCCACGGCAGGGACACCTCCCACTGTCCCAATGTCCAACCTGGCCTTGGGCACTGCCAGGGATCCAGGGGCAGCCACAGCTGCTCTGGGCACCCTGTGCCAGGGCCTCCTCACTCTCACAGGGAAGAATCTCCTCCTAATACATGCTCTAACCTTGCCCTCTGGCAGTAAAAAGCCATTCCCACGAAGAAGGGAAGAGAGGATATTTCTGGGAATTGCCACCCTGTTAGCCTCACCTCTGTGCTGGGAAGATCATGGAACAGATGCTCCTAAAAGTTCTGCTAAGGCACACGGAGAACAGGGATGTGATTGGGACAACCAGCACAGCTTCACAAAGCAAAAATCCTGTCTGACCTGTGGTGGACTGACTACATCAGTGGGTATGGGAAGAGCTACAGATGGCATTTATCTGGACTCCTCTAAAGTATTTGACACAGTGCCCTCCTAACATTCTTCTCTCCAAACTGGAGTGAAGAATTTGACAGGGGCACTGTCAGGTGCATGAGCAGTTGTTTGGATGGTCACATCCAGAGAGGAGTGGTCAAAAGCTCAGAGTCCTGAAGGACATCAGTGACCAGTGGTGTTCCTCAGGAGTCTGTATTGAGACCAGTGTTACTTAATAGTTTAATTAATGAATCAGTGTTACTTAAGATCTTCATTAATGACAGAAGGATCGAGTGCACCCTCAGCAGGTTTGCAGGTGACACCAAGCTGCAGGACAGGGCCATCCAAAGGGATCTGGACCAGCTCCAGAAATGCCCCATGGGAATCTCAGGAGGTTTAACAAGGCCAAGTGCAGCTCCTGAGTCAGGGAAAGCCCTGGGATGAATCCAGGCTGGGATGAGCAGATGGAGCAGCCCTGGGAGAGCTGGACCTGCCCCAGCCCAGAGCCCCCCGTGCCCAGTGTGGGATCAGCAAAGGGATTGGGATTGTGTCCCTGTGCCCCCTCAGGTGTGACCCCACCTGCAGAGCTGCCCCAGCCCTGTCCCAGCTTGGGGAGGAGCTGGAGCTGCTGCAGAGAGCCCAGAGGAGGCAGCAGGATGAGCAGAGGGATGGAGCAGCTCTGCTGGGAGGAAAGGCTGGCAGAGACTTCAGGTGACCTAACTATGACCTTCCAGTACCTGGAAGTATAGTAAAGGTGGTGGAAGACTATTGTCAAAAGCCTGGAGTGACAGGACAAGGGACAGTGGGTTCAAAACGAGGGAGTAGGGTTAGATTAGGTACTAGGAAAAAAATCTTCCCTGTGAGGGAGGCGAGGCCCCGGCACAGGCTGCATCCTGTCCCATCCCTGAGCCTGGAAGTGTTCAAAGCCAGGTTTGACAGGGCTTGGAGCAACCCAGGATAGCGGCAGGTGTCCCTGCTCATATCAGGGGGTTTGGAACAAGATGATCTACGAGGTCCCCTTCCAATCCAAACCATTCTACAACTCCCCTGTGTGCTGTCCCTCCATTCCCTGGGTGCTGTCCCTGCATTCCCTGGGTGCTGTCCCTCCATTCCCTGGGTGCTGTCCCTCCATCCCTTGGCAATTGTCTCTCTCCATGGTTCCTGCAGCTCCTTCAGGCCCTGCAAGGCCACCCTGAGCTCAGCCCAAAGCTTCTCCTCTCCAGGCTGAACAATCCCAGCTGTGCCAGCCTTTCCTCCCAGCAGAGCTGTTCCATCCCTCTGCTCATCCTGCTGCCTCCTCTGGGCTCTCTGCAGCAGCTCCAGCTCCTCCCCAAGCTGGGACAGGGCTGGGGCAGCTCTGCAGGTGGGCTCTCACCTGAACAGGGCAGATGGATGTTCCTCCAACCACACTCATGGGGCAGCACATTCTAACGGGAGGCTGGAGATGTGCTTTCAATCCCCCAGGGCTGCACATTAAGGTAAACCAGAATTCCCATTTTCCCAAACAAATTACCAAAGTGGGGATTTATGCTACAAGACCTGACCAGCCACTCTCTCGTGCTGTGCTTTAACCCTCGAGTGAGTTCAGTGTTGCTGCTGTGTTAGAAATTCTCTGTGCATTTACTGACCAAGTTACTCGCTAGGGTCTAACAAATTTGGCAAAAGAGCATCCACATGCCCAATCCCAAACCCACTTTAAGGCACTGCAGGCTGGAACAGCTGCTGGGACAGGCAGGACTGCAGCTGCCATGAGCCACTGCAAAGATGCATCTTCCTCTTAGGGCATTTGCTTGTAACAGGAAAGTAACAAATTCAGACTGTGGGGACAAGCAAATCACTGATGGGGAAGGGACAGAGGGAAACTGAGGTTTCCATCACCACCTTTTAATTCTGTACCTCACTTCCCTGTGGATTTAACCTTTGTTAGGTTCTTGCCCTTCTGGAGACCTAGTGCCATGTTTTCAGGAGGAAGGCATTTCGTTAAAGGAAACTTGCTGGGATTTCTGTGAAATACGAGCTGTACACTGGAGCCTACTTGCATGTTCCTTTCAATGATTCTATTTATACAGGCCAGGGCAGCAACACAGACCCTCCAATCAGAATCCCAAAGCTCCCTATACTCCAGACAACATGGCAAAATCTTGCAAAAACATTTCGTAATTGCCATACTGTTAAATGAATGTGACTTGGGATTCCACAAGTACACCAGGTACATATTTATGGAATAAGCAATTTAGAAATAGTTTTTGCACCAATATTGCTGTGAATGCATTAAGAGTGAACAGTGAAGCAGAGTCAAATTATGGACAAAGTGTCCAGCCCACAGCTGGAGAACTGCATCACTCAGTGGGTGAGCAACTGGCCTACGGGCTGGGCACAAATGGTGACAGGGGCTGGGGTGGCATTGGGCTAACACCAGTCACTAGTGGGGTTCTGCAGGGCTCCATTCTCAGCCCAGTTCTCTTCAACATCTTCACTAACAACCTGGACACAGGACTCAAAGTGATAATTAGTCTGCTGAGGACACTGAACTGGGAGGAGCTGTTGATTCCCTCGAGGGCAGAGAAGCCATGCAGAAGGGACCTCAAGAAATTAGAGAGATTGGCAATCCCCAACCGTGTGGAGTTTAACAAGGGAAGTGCTGGATTCTGCACCTGGGATCGGCAACCCCGGCTCTGAGGATGGAGAGCAGTTGTAGGAAGGGCCCTGGGGGTCCTGATCCATGGCCAGCTGGAGCAGAGTCAGCAGTGCCCTGGGGCCAGGAGAAGGGTCTGGAGGGGCCCCACGAGGTCACTTGGTCAGTCCAGCCTGGAGCAGCCTGAGGTCAGAGCTCCCCGGGGCTGCAGCTCCTCCCGAGGGGCAGCGCAGGGACAGCTCCGATCTCTGCTCTGCCCCAGGGACAGCAGCCAGGGAGCGCCTGCAGCTGGCCCAGGGCAGCTCCGCTTGGATTTTAGGGCAAGGCTCTTCCCCCAGAGGGTGCTGGGCACTGCCCAGGCTCCCCAGGGAATGGGCACAGAGCTCCAGGAGCTGCCAGGGATGCCCAGGCTGGGATTGCTGGGGGGGCTGGCCAGGGCAGGGCTGGCATCAATGATCCCTGTGGGTTTATTCCCACTCAGGATATTCTGGGATTCTATAAAATTAATGTTTCTGCAAAGATAATTCATTAGATTCAGATAATCAGATAATGCCTCTTGTCCAATTCCTTTTTAGATACTGACAGTGGCAATGTTTGCCACAAGGTAAGTTCATTAACTTTCGAGTTAACACGTCTCACTTCTTTATAACCATGTGACCTTGTCTCAATCCTCCACAAAATAAGAAAACAAAAAATAAGTGAACAAAAATAAAAATCACCAACCAACCACGAACCTACCAAAACCCCCCATGTCAGCCTGAAGTGCTGCCCCTACACCACAAATTAAAAACTTGAAAATGCTCATGGTACACAAATCACTGAGCAAAAAATCCTTAAAGCAATCTCAAACTCCTGAAAGCAGAATATCTGAAATTAACAATTTTCTGTGCTGCCTCTGGAAGTGTACTCACCCAGCACACTGCAGTTACCTGTGTTTCAGCTCCCAAAAATGAGAAATGCAGTAATTACAGCCTTCATCACCTCACCAACCCTCCAGAATCAAAAATTTCACAGCAAAGACCACTCCCATAAGAGGGGACACTCAGATGTGACTTTTTTAGCATTAAAAAAATATCTAGTAATTTATTCAAGATCTGAGACTTACACATCAAAATCCCTTATCCTTTTCAAGGCTGAAATGTAAGCACCTACACTTTAAAATAGCAAATCATCTTTTCACTGAACAGTTCATCACAGATCTTTTTGTAATCTGTTTTGTTCTTCCAAAATAATCTTGAAAACCAACCCAGAGCAGAAAACTGCTTCTATCAGCATCAGCTTTGGAATTAAGAATAGTTCAGTGAACCTGGAGTAGATACACATAAAATAATGCAGAATTTATAGACATATACATGTATACATAGGGAAAATATTTATCTATTTCAGCACTGGAAAGAAAAAACTCCAACTCTGCATACCAATTGCTTACATATAACAACCAACTCAATTTTTAAATTATGTATTTCTCTGGCCACCTCTGGATGTAAAATCACAGTAGAGAAAATATTTAACCAGTTCACAGCAAACACACACAAATTGTCAGGGGAGAAGCTCCAAGAAGCACATTTTCAACTCTATAAAATTGATTCGATTTTAGGCACAGTCACAACCTTCTTACCAAGAACAGATTTGCCAGAGGGAGGTTTTATTACCTGGGTTGCACTGCAGCTCTGTCCCGAGGGCTCCAGAGAGCACTTCCTCTATTTTCTGCACTATCTGATCACTCTGACAACTCCCAGCAGCTCCAGAGGCTTCAGAAGGCCCGGCTTGCTCAGCTGGGATCGTGTCACCATTGGGCTGGCCTTCCACCTGTGCACTAATCAAATTAAAAAAAAAAAACAAAACAACTTAATACAACGGTTTTGAGCCTTTTTTTGAACATTTTTTGTCATTCACATACATTTATTGTATCCAGCCCTTCACACCAGTATTCCAGCCTCCTGAAAAAGCCGTGCTCTTAGGAAAAAGTCTGTATTTGGATTAATTTTCACTTATTCAGCCCTGACACTCTGATTGCTGAGGTTGAGACGCAAGGGGAAAAAAAACCACATTCTGGAATGTGCCACATCTCCTGTGCTCGTACGACCTTGTAGGGGTTTCCTACACAAAATAAATTCACGCAACGCGTTTTCTTCCAGCTTTCTCTTTCTCTTTCCAAGGTTTTCCTTGTTTTACGAGATAAACTCGGCAAATTTAGCCGTAGATCAGACAAACTATGCAGACGCCTGCCCCGACGTGAGGACAGCACTGAAAACGGGGGTAGAGCGGGTGGGCGCGTTCCCCCACCGGCTTCTCTCGGCCCCCGGGCCGTGTCTCCCTCTGGGCGCCCGCACGGCCGCGACCCCCCCGGCCCCGCCATGTTGCCGCCGACACGACCCTCAGGCCGCGGCCCGTCTCTCTCCGCTCCGCGCCCTTCCCCGCCGCTCCCCACTGCCTCGTTACCCGCCGTGCTGCTGCTGCTGCTCCTCCTGGATCTCTCGGAATTTGCTGACCACAAAGGACCGAAGGATCTGCTCGATATTCGTCGCCATGACACCCCCCCCTTCCTTCCTGCCCCGACGCGAGGCCTCCAGCATCCCACAGTGCACCGCGGCCCCGGGCGCGCGCTGACGTACCCACTGTAAGCCCTCTCGCCATTGGCTGCGTTCGCTGTAAGCCCTCTCGCCATTGGCCGCGGCGGCGTGTGGCTGCGAACGGCCGCTCTAGCGCGGCGCACGGGCCATAGAGCAGCGGCGGGTTCCGGCGGGGGGGGAGGAAGGTCTCGTGTCCCCTCAGCCGCCGCCGCCATGTTGTGGCGCTCCCGCCGCCCCCCCGCGCTCCGTGCCTGCCGCCGCCGCCACCGGCAAAGCCGCCCCGAGCGTGTCCCCGTCCCCCGGTGAAAGCATTAAACCAGTCCCCAGCTCTCTGCACCCACACCGCCGCCTCGCGCAGACCCCTTCCCCACACAGACACACCGCCCCGCCGCCACCGCCGCTCGCGGCCCCTCTCGCGCCCCGTACGCCGCGTCCGAGCGCCCGCGGCCCCACGGAGGGCAGGAAAAGGCACCGCGGCGGCCGTGGCTGCCGGTCCTGTCCCTCTGCGCTCCCACCCAGCTTTCCCCGGCGCCGCTGGAGTCTCCGCGGCGGCCGCTGCTTACCCGGCCGAGGCCATGGCGGGCTGAGGCGCGGCGCCGGCGGGTGCGATCGGGAGCGATTCCATCGGTGCCCATGGAGCGGGGCCGAGCCCCGCGTGTGCTCCGGGCGGGCGGCGGCTCTCAGGGGGCCCTGCCCGCACACGGGCGGTGCTGCTGCTGCTGCTGCATCACCACGGGGCCCTCAGCCCCGGCTCCATGCGAGAGGCGCCCGCCCGCGCTCCCTCCCTCCCCCTCCGCCCGGCGGTGACACGCACATGTGCTCCGGGGGCTGGCAGCGGGGCCGCGAAAATTAAAGGAACAAAGGGGGAAAAGCAAAGGGAGGTGGATAAATTAAGTGAGCCTTTTGCCCGCCTGGAAAGCCAGAGCTTTTCTGGCGGTGATGGAACGCACTGAAATGAGTTTGTCCAGAGTACAGCCACCCTAGGGACCCCCTCAGTGCTGCCCTGATGCCTTAATCAAATCAAATTTTAATTATATGGGTGTTTAAACAGGCTGTAAAACCAAAAAATCCTACGGCTGGAAGACTCTCCCCATAGAGTGTTTCTGTAGTTGTAACTTAGGGGAGTTACTTGACCTGAAATAAATTTAAAATACCTCCAAACCTGACCTGGTGAGTGGCATCCTTGATCAGGGTAATCACTAAATGGTCTTTAAGGTCCCTTCAAACCCAAGCCATCCTGAGATTCTATGAAAACCCAAGTAAAACTGTTTAGTTACTGCTGGGGTCTAAAAATTTTCAACGTCAATATTGTTGAATAATCACTTGTGAGACCCCTTAAAAGCAGCATCATTCTTCATTATGTCCTGCTCACCTGCCTTAATATTGACTTTGGAGAAAAAAATTAATCAGAGACTTGGATCAATTTGCTTACTTTTGTGTCACACTTGATTTATTCCATTTAAAATATAAAGTAGTTAAAGTTAAGAAGTCCTTTTACATGTTCATGCCATGCTCACATTAATACATGTTAGATTTACTGGTAGAACTCTGTAATTTTTTTATATCAAAGTAAAGACTGAAAATGTTTCGCTTGAACAATTTCAGATATATTTAGATTCAGCTGATGCAAATGGCCTTGTCTCTACCAGGCACGTCAAAAAAACATGAAGGAAGGTGCCCCAAAAAAGCCAGAAAAGGACTTTAGTGTGTGCTGCATATTTCTCTCTGACTTCTTATAAACAAAACTAATGTGATAATTACAAAAAGTCCTTCTTCAAACACATGAGGATCCATAGCCCTATGGGAAAATAACTGTTGTTGCTCTCTCCATATCTGCTTGCTGAATAAACTCCCTTTATTTAAAACCTTTTATTTAGTTTCAGTGTCAGGTAGTTTTCAGATTAATTAAATATTTTACTTTCATCTTGTCAAGACCAGTGATTTTTGCTGGTAATGTTCAATTAGTAAAATCATGGGACTTAATGGTAATGGTAATAATATGGTAATAATAATTCTACTACAATCATCAATCCTACTTAGAGAATTTGTTCATGTGACGCTTCCCTTCCAAAGCAAGAGTCTGGGGTGTGCTTAAATATGCAAAAAAAGACATTAAACCTTATTTCCTAAGGTTTTTTTACAAAGAACCGTGATGTTTTCACATTATAGCTCTTGAAGGGAGGAACACTGTCAATCAAATCTTGTTTTATTAACAGTATTATAGCACAATTGTAATGCTTAATTAGGCTAAACGTTGCCCAATGCTCTTCGGTTTCATAAAGCAGAAAGTTCAAATGTGGGACAAATTAAGGAGTTGCTCCTATATGGTATTTCAAGGGATGTAGAGACAAAATCCACTTTTGCACAGCCCTCACAGACCACCACCCTCAGCCCCTGAGGCAAATGATGGATAAAGTAAAAACAACCTACGTATCCCTAAAGTCTTTCGGCCGCCTCTCCCTTTCCCCACCCGCCTCACAACCCTAGCCTTAAGGAATTTCTGTGCCAAAGGGAACTCCGCTGCCCTGTCGCGACATTGCTGACACGCTCTCGTCCCTCCTCCCGCGCCGGTGCCGCGGTGCTCGCTGGGTGCTGTAGTTCCGGGCCTGGCGGAGGATCCTTCCCGCTCTCCGGTCCCCCCTGGAGCACAGTAAGTGACCGAGCCGCGCTGGAGCCGCGCAGGGGCTGCGGCTCGCTCGGGCTTTGTGGCTGTCGGTGCCCCCGCGCTGCCCGCGCTGGGCTGGGGGCACGGGGGGCGGCCCGGGGCCATGTGCGCCCGTACCCGCGCCGCAACATGGCGGGGCAGCCCTCACGGCATCCCCGCTCCTCAGGGCAGATTCCCTCACGGCTTGGCTCTCACGGCACCCCCGTCACGGCATCCCTGTCATGGCTTGGCCCTCACAGCAGTCCCCTCATGGCTTGGCCCTCACGGCACGCCCCCTCATGGCTTGGCTCTCATGGCAGTCCCCTCATGGCAGTCCCCTCATGGCTTGGCCCTCACGGCACGCCCCCTCATGGCTTGGCTCTCATGGCAGTCCCCTCATGGCAGTCCCCTCATGGCTTGGCTCTCACGGCCTCCCCCCCCACCCATGGCATCCCTGTCATAGCTTGGCCCTCATGGCAGTCCCCTCGTGGCTTGGCCCTCACAGCATAGCCCCCACAGCAGTACCCTCAGGGCACCCCCTGATGGCATCCCCTTCGTGGCAAATGCCCTCACGGCTTGACCCTCACTGCACCCCACTCATGGCATCCCACTCATGGCTTAGCCCCCAAAGCAGTACCCTCA